AGAAAATCACATTGTAGGATTTTTAATGAATTTATTTGCAAATTATGGTGGAAAATAAGTATTTGGTCACCTACAAACAAGCAAGATTTCTGGCTCTCACAGACCTGTAACTTCTTCTTTAAGAGGCTCCTCTGTCCTCCACTCGTTACCTGTATTAATGGCACCTGTTTGAACTTGTTATCAGTATAACAGACACCTGTCCACAACCTCAAACAGTCACACTCCAAACTCCTCTATGGCCAAGACCAAAGAGCTGTAAAAGGACACCAGAAACAAAATTGTAGACCTGCACCAGGCTGGGAAGACTGAATCTGCAATAGGTAAACAGCTTGGTTTGAAGAAATCAACTGTGGGAGCAATTATTAGGAAATGGAAGACATACAAGACCACTGATAATCTCCCTCGATCTGGGGCTCCACGCAAGATCTCACCCCGTGGGGTCAAAATGATCACAAGAACGGTGAGCAAAAATCCCAGAACCACACGGGGGGACCTAGTGAATGACCTGCAGAGAGCTGGGACCAAAGTAACAAAGCCTACCATCAGTAACACACTACGCCGCCAGGGACTGAAATCCTGCAGTGCCAGACGTGTCCCCCTGCTTAAGCCAGTACATGTCCAGGCCCGTCTGAAGTTTGCTAGAGTGCATTTGGATGATCCAGAAGAGGATTGGGAGAATGTCAAATGGTCAGATGAAACCAAAATAGAACATTTTGGTAAAAACTCAACTCGTCGTGTTTGGAGGACAAAGAATGCTGAGTTGCATCCAAAGAACACCATACCTACTGTGAAGCATGGGGGTGGAAACATCATGCATTGGGGCTGTTTTTCTGCAAAGGGACCAGGACGACTGATCCGTGTAAAGGAAAGAATGAATGGGGCCATGTATCGTGAGATTTTGAGTGAAAACCTCCTTTCATCAGCAAGGGCATTGAAGATGAAACGTGGTTGGGTCTTTCAGCATGACAATGATCCCAAACACACCGCCCACACAATGAAGGAGTGGCTTCGTAAGAAGCATTTCAAGGTCCTGGAGTGGCCTAGCCAGTCTCCAGATCTCAACCCCATAGAAAATCTTTGGAGGGAGTTGAAAGACTGTGTTGCCCAGCGACAGCCCCAAAACATCACTGATCTAGAGGAGATCTGCATGGAGGAATGGGCCAAAATACCAGCAACAGTGTGTGAAAACCTTGTGAAGACTTACAGAAAACGTTTGACCTGTGTCATTGCCAACAAAGGGTATATAACAAAGTATTGAGAAACTTTTGTTATTGACCAAATACTTATTTTCCACCATAATTTGCAAATAAATTCATTAAAAATCCTACAATGTGATTTTCTGGAAAAAAAAATCTCATTTTGTCTGTCATAGTTGACGTGTACCTATGATGAAAATTACAGGCCTCTCTCATCTTTTTAAGTGGGAGAACTTGCACAATTGGTGGCTGACTAAATACTTTTTTTCCCCACTGTATGATAAAAATTACAGACCTCTACATGCTTTGTAAGTAGGAAAACCTGCAAAATCTGCAGTGTATCAAATACTTGTTCTCCCCACTGTATATATTATAATAATATGCCATTTAGCAGATGCTTTTAGCCAAAGCGACTTACAGTCATGCGTGCATAAATTTTTGTGTATGGGTGGTCCCGGGGATCGAACCCACTACCCTGGCGTTACAAGCGCTGTGCTCTACCAGCTGAGCTACAGAGGACCACGATCTTTGTCTGACCAGACTTGAAGTAGTCTCCTGCTATGAACACGTTTCTCTCCACAGCCAGCTCTATGGCCCCAGGGACAAACGTGTTCTGGGGAGAACGTTGATGTAGGCACAGCCCTCCAGGATACTGGATACGGCAAACAAAGTAGAGGGACACACCTCCCCACCTGACTGTATGGAGGCCAGGATATTCTTGGCCGTGTCGTTGACCCCGGCTGTGAGGTCACAGAAACATTTGGTGTTGGCTGTCCACAAAACAATGACCTTGTCCACGCCGCTTGAATGCTTGAAGTCCTGAATGTCTGCTCTGATCAGCTCCACCTGTTCGGCCATGGTCCCTGTCAGAACGTTGTCCGCTCTGCCCGCCTGGTTTGCATCTATGAATTCCGGGATATAGATGGAGGCCCGGGGTCAATTTTAGTCTCATCTGACCAGAGTACCTTCTTCCATATGTTTGGGGAGTCTCCCACATGCCTTTTGGTGAACACCAAATGTGTTTGCTTATTTTTTTCTTTAAGCAATGGCTTTTTTCTGGCCACTCTTCTGTAAAGCCCAGCTCTGTGGAGTGTACGGCTTAAAGTGGTCCTATGGACATCTCCGCTGTGGAGCTTTGCAGCTCCTTCAGGGATATCTTTGGTCTCTTTGTTGCCTCTCTGATTAATGCCCTCCTTGCCTGGTCTGTGAGTTTTGGTGGCCGGCCCTCTCTTGGAAGGTTTATTGTGGTGCCATATTCTTTCAATTATTTAGTAATGGATTTAATGGTGCTCCGTGGGATGTTCAAATTTTCAGATATTTTTTCATAACCCAACCCTGATCTGTACTTCTCCACAACTGTCACTGACCTGTTTGGAGAGCTCCTTGGTCTTCATGGTGCCGCTTGCTTGGTGTGCGACCCTTGCTTAGTGGTGTTGCAGACTCTGGGGCCTTTCAGAACAGTTGTACAGTTGAAGTCGGAAGTTTACATACACCTTAGCCAAATACATTTCAACTCTGTTTTTCACAATTGACCTGACATTTAATCCTAGTAAAAAGTCCCTATCTTAGGTCAATTAGGATCACCACTTTATTTTAAGAATGTGAAATGTCAGAATAATAGTAGAGATAATTATTTATTTCAGCTTTTATTTCTTTCATCACATTCCCAGTGGGTCAGAAGTTTACATACACTCAATTAGTATTTGGTACCATTGCCTTTAAATTGTTTAACTTGGGTCAAATGTTTTGGGTAGCCTTCCACAAGCTTCCCACAATAAGTTGGGTGAATTTTGGCCCATTCCTCCTGACAGAGCTGATGTAAATGTTCATACCCCTTGACTTATTCCACATTTTGTTGTGTTACAGCCTGAATTCAAAATTGATTAAAAACATAGTATCTCACACATAATACCCCATAATGAAAAAGTGAAAACATGTTTTTAGACATTTTTGCACATTTATTGAAAATGAAATACCTACAGTTGAAGTTAGCCAAATACATTTAAACTCAGTTTTTCACAATTCCTGACATTTAATCCTAGTAACAATTCCCTGTCTTAGGTCAGTTAGGATCAACACTTTATTTTAAGAATGTGAAATGTCAGAATAATAGTAGCTCCTGACAGAGCTGGTGTAACTGAGTCAGGTTTGTAGGCCTCCTTGCTCGCACATGCTTTTTCAGTTCTGCCCACAATTTTTCTATAGGATTGAGGTCAAGGCTTTGTGATGGCCACTCCAATACCTTTGTTGTCCTTAAGCCATTTTGCCACAACTTTGGAAGTATGCTTGGGGTTATTGTCCATTTGGAAGACCCATTTGCGACCAAGCTTTAAACTTCCTGACTGATGTCTTGAGATGTTGCTTCAATATATCCACATAATTTTCCTTCCTCATGATGCCATCTATTTTGTGAAGTGCACCAGTCCCTCCTGCAGCAAAGCACCCCCAGAGCATTATGCTGCCACCCCCGTGCTCACGGTTGGGATGGTGTTCTTCGGCTTGCAAGCGTCCCACTTTTTCCTCCAAACATAACGATGGTCATTATGGCCAAACAGTTCTATTTGTGTTTCATCAGACCAGAGGACATTTCTCCAAAAAGTATGATCTTTGTCACCATGTGCAGTTGCAAACCGTAGTCTGTCTTTTTTATGGCAGTTTTGGAGCAGTGGCTTCTTCCTTGCTGAGCGGCCTTTCAGGTTATGTCGATATAGGACTCGTTTTACTGTGGATATAGATACTTTTGTACCTGTTTCCTCCAGCATCTTCACAAGGTCCTTTGCTGTTGTTCTGGGATTGATTTGTGTTGTTCATCTCTAGGAGACAGAACGCGTCTCCTTCTTGAGCGGTATGACGGCTGCGTGGTCCCATGGTGTTTATACTTGCGTACTATTGTTTGTACAGATGAACGTGGTACCTTCAGGCATTTGGAAATTGCTCCCAAGGATGAACCAGACTTGTGGAGGTCTACAAAAAATGTTCTGAGGTCTTGGCTGATTTCTTTTGATTTTCCCATGATGTCAAGCAAAGAGGCACTGAATTTGAAAGTAGGCCTTGAAATACATCCACAGGTACACCTCCAATTGACTCAAATGATGTAAATTAGCCTAACAGAAGCTTCTAAAGCCATGACATCATTTTCTGGAATTTTCCAAGCTGTTTAAAGGCACAGTCAACTTAGTGTATGTAAACTTTTGTGATACAGTGAATTATAAGTGAAATAATCTGTCTGTAAACAATTGTTGGAAAAATTACTTGTGTCATGCACAAAGTAGATGTCCTAACCAAGTTGCCAAAGCTATAGTTTGTCAACAAAAAATTAGTGGAGTGGTTGAAATACGAGTTTTAATGACTCCAACCTAAGTGTATGTAAACTTCCGACTTCAACTGTATATATACTGAGATCATGTGACACTTAGATTGCACACAGGTGGACTTTAGTTAACTAATTATGTGACTTCTGAAGGTAATTGGTTTCACCAGATCTTATTTAGGGCCATCATAGCAAAGGGGGTGAATACATGCACGCACCACTTTTCCGTGATTTATTTTTTTAGCATTTTTTGAAAAAGTTTTTTTTTCTTCATTTCACTTCACCAATTTTGACTATTTTGTGTATGTCCATTGCATGAAATCCAAAACAATTTCCATTTAAGTTCCAGGTTGTAATGCAACAAAATAGGAAAAACGCCAAGGGGGATGAATACTTTTGCAAGGCACTGTATGTGTCTGACTGCCTCTGTGTGTGTCTATCCCATCCCAGGTGTCTTCCTGTTCTGCTGGACCCCGTTCTTCGTGGTCCACACCATGCGGGCCCTGTGTGCCACCTGCTTCATCCCCCCAGCCCTGATGAGCATCGTCACCTGGCTGGGCTACGTCAATAGCGCCCTCAACCCAATCATCTACACAGTCTTCAACACAGAGTTCAGGAACTACTTCAAGAAATTCCTCCACAGCTGCTGTACGTACCGGTAGACAAGACGGCACAGCTAGCCTGCTTCCAGATCTGTTTGTGTCATCTCGCAAACTCCTATGGTCATTGTGACAAGCAACTCCTATGGCAACGTGAGTTGGCAACACAGCACGAACATATCTGGGGCCAGGCTAAGGCACCGCCGACGATGAATGGACAAGAAAGCACAACGAACGCTACCATTGTATAGATGTGACGATATCAAATCTGAGCTTTGCTGTACAGTATATCTTACCATTGCATATTTTTCTCCCCCTTGGGATTTTATTTTTGTACATCATTTTTTCTGTTGATTTACGCTTGTGATTTATCTTATTGTGACAGCAATGTTTGTTTGTCAGCTGGCCATATGCCGTTTCAATGTTTTATGTGGAAAACTTTGTGGTGAGGAATAGCATTGAAACCCTTCAACTGAAAAAGATACTCAGAAATTGCAGAGGGGCATCCATTTCTGAGGTTATTAGAGGTAATTGAATGTGTACATTGTTGTGCGTGCCGAGATCAAAATTAATCTTTAAGATTAAATGTTTTTTCACTTAAATGAGGACTTCTGTCTTCTGAACATTGAGGACCAGGGTTAAAACACTTTGTACTCAGCGCCACCACTGCATCACACCTACCTCTCATCGACAAAAATAAAAATATATAATTCTCCACACAGCCATGACTATACTGCAAATCCTGAGATGACTCCTGACTTAGTCTGATAAAGATCGCCACAACAAAAGGAAACCTCTTAAAAAAATATCCCTCTCGCCCATACAGAAATTGAGGCTTTGACAAACTGAGAAGTGGTCAACTGAAAGGGCAAAATAACAAAGAGTTTCCTCTGTGTTGCCTAGCAGCTCAAATCATGCATCCAAGAGACGAAAATAACAAAAAGAGAGTCATGGTTCAAACCCAAGGAGAAAGCTTTGGGAGGGAGGATTAAATATGATGGAGCAATTTCAGACACCATCTGCTTGCAGTGTGACAGGTATTGAGAGAGTAATTTAAATCCACACGCTTCTCCCCCCAGGATGATTGGTCCATTAGCCACAGGTGGGTGACAGAGGTCAGCCTAGCAACAACATCAGGTGGAGACAAAGGCCAAAAACATTAGTCCTATTTCAAAATCAGGGTAGGGTAAACTAGCACTGCAGCGTTTATGAGCTAACATAAAAGTAAACTGCAATTGAGGGCATTCAGAGGAGTGACCAGAAATGGTAATCACCCTTTATGTCTATGAACACATAACTTCTCTGTGAGTTGGAAGGTTTAATGTCAATCCTTCCATTAACTTTGTTTTTCACACACCTCTTTATGAATGGTCTCCCTTACACTATGACATTCTCCTTCACTCTCCAAGACAGCTGACACACATTTTATTCGAAGATATTCAAGTATCTCAACTAGGAGAATGGAGATGGCCTTTCTAAAAGGACAGAAGAGAAAGCAGAGTGGAAATATCTTTTGATAGTACTGCTGTAAAATGTGATTATGAAGGTCAATGTGCAGGGGCACCGGTTAGTCGAGGTAATTGAGGTAATATGTACATGTAGGTAGAGTTAAAGTGACTCTGCATAGATAATAAACAGAGAGTGGCAGCAGCGTAAAAGAGGGGGTGGGGGCTTCCTCTGACACCGCCTGGTATAGAGGTCCTGGATGGCAGGAAGCTTGGCCCCAGTGACGTACTGGGCTGTACGCACTACCCTCTGTAGTGCCTTGCGGTCGGAGGCCGAGCAGTTGCCATACCAGGCAGTGATGCAACCAATTCACCCTCTGAATGGCACACATACACAAACCATGTCTCAATTGTCTCAAGGCTTAAAAGTCCTTCTTTAACTTGTCTCCTCCCCTTCATCTACACTGATTGAAGTGGATTTAACAGGTGACATCAATAAGTGATAATAGCTTTCACCTGGTCAGTCTACATCATGGGAAGAGCAGGTGTTCCTAATGTTTTGTACACTCAGTGTATATGGCAAGGTAAGCGAGCCCGGATAAAATGAACAAACTTGCAAAGAGGGAACGACGTAGGAGCACCAAACTTTAAATTGTATTTCTGGGAATCAAAATGGCATGCCCATACTCCAATATTTCACAATAATGCCTTGCGATAGACATGGAGGGTGGCCTTTTGTATCCCCCCATGGCTCAAATGTGGAATCCATATCCTTGCCGATATCATGGACAGTAATTGTTTGATAACATTCCAAAATCTGAAAGACACATAACCAGGCAACTCCTTTTATTTTATTTTATATACATTTACTTAGGTCAGCTATACTGGCTTAGGGAGTCCCTTGGGAAACCCAACTAGAACCATCCAATGATAGGATTTATAACTACATTATCTGGGCTCCCAAAAGGACTGATCTCTATAATATGTAAACAACTTTTGGAAAGCTCATATTCTGAGCTAGCCATTAAAAAAGTATGGTCCACAGATCTGAACAACCATTTAACTGGAACAGAATATGGAAAAATATGACCTTGGCATCCCGTAATAGACCCCTTTCTGTGTTTTCAAACATTGCCGCACGAGTTGGTGGCAGAACAAGGGGGAGTTCTGCCAGCCTATATTTACATGTTGCTTATGAGTGCATTTCACACTACTTTTGGATTAGAATTGGATTAAGGGTCGTATGAATGTCCTGTTTAATATAATGTTTGTCATCATCTCAAATCAACTGCATTATACTCAAACACTTCAACCAGTAAAATGTCTCTTTGGCTAGCTTTTGCAACAGCCTATATCAATGAGCGTTAAGCATTCTAGCTAACAACTGCTGCATCCAAAATACTTATTTTGCAAAGATCACAACCAAATATAATTTTAGCAACAGTTCAAGCAAGAATCAAAATATAATTGTAAGCGTATGAAAACCCCAAAAAGTGATTTTGTTTAGAAGTAATAAAACCGTAAATCTATGTTGAATGGGCGCAGATGGCTTTCTTACTGCTGCCAAGAGTCGTGCGCATCTGTAAAAAAAAATTGCCTGCCCTCGTTTGCAATGTCAGCACAATAACTGTTTGTCTGGAGCTTGATGAAATGGGTTTCCATGGCCGAGCAGCCGCACACAAGCCTAAGATCACCATGCGCAATGCCAAGCGTCGGCTGGAGTGGCGTAAAGCTCACCGCAATTGGCCTCTGGAGCAGTGGAAACTCGTTCTGAATCATGTTTCACCATCTGGCAGTCCGACTGACAAATCTGGGTTTGGCAGATGCCAGGAGAAAGCTACCTTCCCCAATGCATAGTGCCAACTGTAAAGTTTGGTGGAAGATGAATAATGGTCTGGGGCTGTTTTTCATGGTTCGGGCTAGGCCCCTTAGTTCCAGTGAAGGGAAATCTTAACGCTACAGCATACAATGACATTCTAGATTATTCTGTGCTTCCAACTTTGTGGCAACAGTTTGGGGAAGGCCTTTTCCTGTTTCAGCATGACAATGCCCCCGTGCACAAAGTGAGGTCCATACAGAAACGGTTTGTCAAGATCGGTGTGGAAGAACTTGACTGGCCTGTACAGAGCCCTGACCTCAACCCTATCGAACACCTTTGGGATTAATAGGAACGCCGACTGCGAGTCAGGCCTAATCGCCCAACATCAATGCCCGACCTAACTAATGCTCTTGTGGCTGAATGGAAGCAAGTCCCCGCAGCAATGTTCCAACATCTAGTGGAAAGCCTTCCCAGAAGAGTGGAGGCTGTTATAGCAGCAAAGGGGGGACCAACTCCATATTAATGCCCATGATTTTGGAATGAGATGTTCGACGAGCAGTTGTCCACACAGTTTATACATTACATGACCAAAAGTAAGTGTGTAACTTGACATGTATATTGTACCTGTAACCCCCCCCAAAGGATAGGTGTTTTAAAGGATAGGTGTTCAGAGGCATACAAGATAATCATTACATGACACAGGGAATTCATAGGAGCCTCCCAGAGCTAGAAAATTGGCAAATAACGCCAACCAGAGCCTCATCTTGAAAGACTAATACTAGGCTCTGGGCTCTGATCCCAGCCATTAAAAGGGGAATGTCTAAAGGGTGTGCGCACGTAGACAAGATGTTGTATTGAATAGAAAGCGGTACAAACCACCTCAAGATAAAAACATAATATTAGAAATCAGTAAGTTAGACTAAATATTAGCATTTCATATATTCGCAGTAAATAAAATTCAATCTGGATAATAACACAAAACAAATCATAAGGCTAGAGAAATATATCGACAAATATTACATCAACACCCAAACATGGCGGAAGATAAACGAGGAGAACCAATCCCCAAGAGGAAACACGACTCGTCGACTGATACAGATGATATATGCTTTTCATCACTGGGTCTGGTAAGTGTGGAAAGCGACCTGTTGAAGTCGATAAATGACAAATTGGGCATACTAGAATTGGTCAGTAAGGACGTAAAAGAGTTGAAAGCGAGTCTTGAAATGGGTGAAAAAACATCGATAATGGAAACAGAAACCAAAAAATGTAAAGTGACAGTAACTAAGATGGAAACGGACGTTAGGGAACTTAAAAAGGAGAACAACCTTCTGAGAGAAGCCTTACTAGACATCCAAACTAGATCGATAAGAGAAAATCTAGTACTTACGGGTATTCAGGAAAAGGAGGGAGAAATAACAGAGAATATTATGAAGGACTTCCTGCATACAGCGCTTCAAATACCACTCGAGGCTGTCGATAAAATCCAACTCAAACGTGTACACCGTTTCGGACAAAGAGTACAGAAATATGATCGCCCAATCGTTGCCAAATTTGCATTTTTTACATTTTAGTCATTTAGCAGACACTCTTATCCAGAGCGACTTACAGTTAGCGCATACATTATTTTATCGAACCCACAACCCTGGCGTTGCAAACGCCATGCTCTACCAACTGAGCTACATCCCCTGCCGGCCATTCCCTCCCCTACCCTGGACGACGCTGGGCCAATTGTGCGCCGCCCCATGGGTCTCCCGGTCGCGGCCGGCTATGACAGAGCCTGGATTCGAACCAGGATCTCCAGTGGCACAGCTAGCACTGCGATGCAGTGCCTTAGACCACTGTGCCACTCGGGAGAAGGATAAAGGATAAAGCTATGGTTAAAAGCTATGGTTAAAAGCCTAGGAAAAAGACTTGCTGGCACGAAAATAGGCATGAATGATCAGTTCCCGAGGGAGATTGCAGAGAGGCGCAAAGTTCTGTATCCAATCTTCAAGGAAAATAGATTAAAAGGGAAACGTGTGGCACTTGTGGTCGATAAACTATATATTGACAACCAAATGTTCAGAGACACAAAGACTACTCCATGGCTATTCTAAAAGTTGTAATAGAGGAGTTGAATAATGGAACACCCAATACTAGCAATGATAGGGATTGGAATATTAAATAACATTTATAGTAAGTATAGTATTTAAAAAAGGATAAAACAATATAACAAGAAAAGATAACAAGCAGAATAATACATCTTCATATACAACTAATTAGAACATGGCTTTTTTGGCGGGCAATTGTTGTTTTGGCGGACGGTTGTTGGGGTTGGTCCTGTGTTCTCCCTGGCGTCCTTTCCCCCTTGCGGCAGGTGTGGGAAGTGGGTGCGTTTGCACGCTCGGCCCATTTCCTCCGCAGTCAACCATGTGGTGTGCATTTTTGTGTTTGGAATGGTGCGGTGTTAATTGAGTGAGAGGGGAAATGGTTGCATATCCTAGAGCCGACAGGTGTCTATGAGCAGGGGTAGTGAGGGAGAGCTTTCAATTTTGTGTAGATGAGGGATATACATTGTTAAATATAGTATACATCTAATAAATAAATAAAAAAGTCCTATCATGATGGAAAGATCCCCAACCCTATATCCTGGACACCCACCTGAGTGACCCATACAACAAAGAAAAGTTCCCATTTCTTTTATGGAACTGCTGTGAGTATGCAGCCTAAACAGAGAAATAAATGCGGTCAGAGACCTACTTGAGCAGCACCGCCCCCTCAAGATTCTGAGCCTGCCTGGCATGGTTGGTCCTACAAAGCCAGAGCCCCCTGATGGGAGAGCATTATATACAAGGAAATGTTCAAAGCTGCTAATGAGAACCTTGACGACCTTTTACCTAGCCGGTGGGGATTTCGGTGGGGTACCCCCACCCAGGTAGTGGCAGTGCTGGCAACACTGGCTGCAGTAACCCATGGGGAGGGGGTCACACTCGGACAATCAGAGAGGGGGTTTATCATTGTGGCCCAGGTGGCACAAAATAATCAAAGGTCTGACTGCACGGAGATGCTTGGGAAAATGGTTACAACAGGGGATCAGAGTGTTTGTGTCTCAGGTGAAGAGGGTGGATCTGATCTCCATCACCTAGGACTTTACATAAATTAAGTAGATTAATCAAATCTGACATTGTTGTCAATTTCTGCTCAATTATTGCATGCTTTCTCAATCAGCTGTAACTGTATGTGCACTCGTAAATCAGGTCCTTTCTTGAGTTGGGCTCTGGGATATACAGTGGGGAGAACAAGTATTTGATACACTGCCGATTTTGCAGGTTTTCCTACTTACAAAGCATGTAGAGGTCTGTCATTTTTATCATAGGTACACTTCAACTGTGAGAGACGGAATCTAAAACAAAAATCCAGAAAATCACATTGTATGATTTTTAAGTAATTAATTTGCATTTTATTGCATGACATAAGTATTTGATCACCTACCAACCAGTAAAATTTCCGGCTCTCACAGACCTGTAGTGGCTACAGGACAATAGGCAAGCAGCTTGGTGAGAAGGCAACAACTGTTAGAAAAAATACAATTATTAGAAAATTGAAGAAGTTCAAGATGACGGTCAATCACCCTCGGTCTGGGGCTCCATGCAAGATCTCACCTCGTGGGGCATCAATGATCATGAGGAAGGTGAGGGATCAGCCCAGAATTACACGGCAGGACCTGGTCAATGACCTGAAGAGAGCTGGGACCACATTCTCAAAGAAAACCATTAGTAACACACTACGCCGTCATGAATTAAAATCCTGCAGCGCACACAAGGTCCCCCTGCTCAAGCCAGCGCATGTCCAGGCCCGTCTGAAGTTTGCCAATGACCATCTGGATGATCCAGAGGAGGAATGGGAGAAGGTCATGTGGTCTGATGAGATAAAAATAGAGCTTTTTGGTCTAAACTCCACTCGCCGTGTTTGGAGGAAGAAGAAGGATGAGCACAACCCCAAGAACACCATCCCAACCGTGAAGCATGGAGGTGGAAACATCATTCTTTGGGGATGCTTTTCTGCAAAGGGGACAGGACGACTGCACCATATTGAGGGGAGGATGGATGGGGCCATGTATCGCGAGATCTTGGCCAACAACCTCCTTCCCTCAGTAAGAGCATTGAAGATGGGTCGTGGCTGGGTCTTCCAGCATGACAATGACCCGAAACACACAGCCAGGGCAACTAAGGAGTGGCTCCGTAAGAAGCATCTCAAGGTCCTGGAGTGGCCTAGCCAGTCTCCAGACCTGAACCCAATAGAAAATATTTGGGAGCTGAAAGTCCGTATTGCCCAGCAACAGCCCCAAAACCTGAAGGATCTGGAGAAGGACTGTATGGAGGAGTGGGCCAAAATCCCTGCTGCAGTGTGTGCAAACCTGGTCAAGACCTACAGGAAACTTATGATCTCTGTAATTGCAAACAAAGGTTTCTGTACCAAATATTAAGTTCTGCTTTTCTGATGTATCAAATACTTATGTCATGCATTAAAATGCAAATTAATTACTTAAAAATCATACAATGTGATTTTCTGGATTTTTGTTTTAGATTCCGTCTCTCACAGTTGAAGTGTACCTATGATAAAAATTACAGACCTCTACATGCTTTGTAAGTAGGAAAACCTGCAAAATCGGCAGTGTATCAAATACTTGTTCTCCCCACTGTAACAACCGTTGAGTATCTGATTTTATGGTGGATTGTGGAGGAGGGGGGATGAGTGTGTTGAAGTATGTGAGTATGTGCGTGTGTGTTTGGCCGGCATCTGTTGTGGGGGGGGGGGGGATGTTGGGGGGGGGTATGGGATGGACCACGGTAATTATTTGCTAGGATAATAATTATTTGCTAGGTTAATAATTGCTTGTCAATAAATTAAATGTAATACAATGGCAATCTGGGTTATATGTTAAAATCCTACGTATGAACTGCCAACATTATTACACATATTAATTGATAATGATGGAAAATAAGATATGCAAGATATTTGAATAGATATATATTTTTAAATAGTTTATATATATATATATATATATATATATATATATATATATATATATATATACACACACAGTGGGGGAAAAAAGTATTTAGTCAGCCACCAATTGTGCAACTTCTCCCACTTAAAAAGATGAGAAAGGCCTGTAATTTTCATCATAGGTACACGTCAACTATGACAGACAAAATGAGAAAAAAAATCCAGAAAATCACATTGTAGGATTTTTTATGAATTTATTTGCAAATTATGGTGGAAAATAAGTATTTGGTCACCTACAAACAAGCAAGATTTCTGGCTCTCACAGACCTGTAACTTCTTCTTTAAGAGGCTCCTCTGTCCTCCACTCGTTACCTGTATTAATGGCACCTGTTTGAACTTGTTATCAGTATAAAAGACACCTGTCCACAACCTCAAACAGTCACACTCCAAACTCCACTATGGCCAAGACCAAAGAGCTGTCAAAGGACACCAGAAACAAAATTGTAGACCTGCACCAGGCTGGGAAGACTGAATCTGCAATAGGTAAGCAGCTTGGTTTGAAGAAATCAACTGTGGGAGCAATTCTTAGGAAATGGAAGACATACAAGACCACTGATAATCTCCCTCAATCTGGGCCTCCACGCAAGATATCACCCAGTGGGGTCAAAATGATCACAAGAACGGTGAGCAAAAATCCCAGAACCACACGGGGGGACCTAGTGAATGACCTGCAGAGAGCTGGGACCAAAGTAACAAAGCCTACCATCAGTAACACACTACGCCGCCAGGGACTCAAATCCTGCAGTGCCAGACGTGTCCCCCTGCTTAAGCCAGTACATGTCCAGGCCCGTCTGAAGTTTGCTAGAGTGCATTTGGATGATCCAGAAGAGGATTGGGAGAATGTCATATGGTCAGATGAAACCAAAATATAACTTTTTGGTAAAAACTCAACTCGTCGTGTTTGGAGGACAAAGAATGCTGAGTTGCATCCAAAGAACACCATACCTACTGTGAGGCATGGGGGTGGAAACATCATGCTTTGGGGCTGTTTTTCTGCAAAGGGACCAGGACGACTGATCCGTGTAAAGGAAAGAATGAATGGGGCCATGTATCGTGAGATTTTCAGTGAAAACCTCCTTCCATCAGCAAGGGCATTGAAGATGAAACGTGGCTGTGTCTTTCAGCATGACAATGATCCCAAACACACCGCCCGGGCAATGAAGGAGTGGCTTCGTAAAGAAGAAGTGAAGGAGTGGCTTCTTAAAGAAGAAGTTACAGGTCTGTGAGAGCCAGAAATCTTGCTTGTTTGTAGGTGACCAAATACTTATTTTCCACCATCATTTGCAAATAACTTCATTAAAAATCCTACTATGTGATTTTCTGGATTTTTTTTCCTCAATTTGTCTGTCATAGTTGATGTGTACCTATGATGAAAATTACAGGCCTCTCTCATCTTTTTAAGTGGGAGAACTTGCACAATTGGTGGCTGACTAAATACTTTTTTCCCCCACTGTATATGGAGGCTTAAATATCCTGATCTAGTGAGATATACATGGCGGAGACTCAATCAAGCTAGTCTTCTTGACTTCTTTCTTATCTCATTCTCGTTGGCACCAAAAGTTAAAAAAGTGTTGATAGGGGACAGAATGCGGTCGGACCATAATAATATAATAATAATATGCCATTTAGCAGACGCTTTTATCCAAAGCGACTTACAGTCGTGCGTGCATATATATATATATTTTTTTTGTGTATGGGTGGTCCCGGGGATCGAACCCACTACCTTGGCGTTACAAGCGCCGTGCTCTACCAGCTGAGCTACAGAGGACCACGTATAATCATATAACCATCATATAATTGGCATATACATTACTCTTACTGAATTTCCACGTGGGCGAGGATATTGGAAATTTAATCAAAGCCTATTGGATGATCATTTATTTTTAACTAGAACAAAGGAATTTATAACTGACTTTTTCCGACATAACATAGGTACAGCAAATCCCCTTATTGTATGGGACACCTTTAAATGTGCCTTTAGAGGCCATGCAATTCAGTACTCATCTCGAAAACAAAAGCAATTTAGGTCAAAAGAGTTTATACTAACAAAGGAAATAGAAAGTCTAACAGAACAGATAGATGGCAATAACAACTGTAACATAGAGGCTCAGAATAAATTAGAGGAAAAAGAAATGGAGAAACTTATTCAAGAAAGATCAAGTGTAATATATTATAAAAATAAAGCAAACTGGATGGAATATGGGGAAAAATGCCCAAATATTTTTTTTTATCTTCAACATAGGAATGCTACCAAAATTGGTTACAATTGACGGAGTAACCCATGATTCACCAAATGATATTTTGAAGGAGGAAACAAGGTATATTTAAGCATATGTTTTCGTTTCAGTCGCCTCCATCTCCTCTAACTGAAGCTAATTGTAGAGATTTTTTTCTATTGATAATGTAAAATTAACAGCCAAACAGAAAGACTCATGTGAAGGTGAAATTACAGAGGAGGAACTTCTGGATGCAATTAAAGACTTTAAGTCTGGGAAAATTCCAGGGTTGGATGGCATACCAGTCGACGTATACCAAACCTTTTTTGATATACTAAGAGGACCGCTATTAGCATGTTTTAACCACTCCTGTGTAAATGGTAGATTATCTGACACTCAAGAAGAAGGTCTGATCTCATTATTACTGAAATAGGATACAAGTGGAAAATATAAAGATCCATTAAAAAAATTGGAGGCCCCTTACACTTCAGTGTTGTGATGCAAAAATTCTAGCAAAATGTATAGCGCATAGAATTAAAAAGGTATTGTCGGATATTATTCATTCTAAATCAGACAGGTTTTTTACAAGGAAGATACATTGGAGATAATATAAGGCAAGTATTGGAAACAATAGAACATTATGGAAAATCGGAGAAACCAGGCCTGCTATTCATAGCAGACTTCGAAAAGGCATTTGATAAAGTACGACTGGGGTTTATATATAAATGCCTGGAGCGTTTCAATTTTGGTGAATCTCTTATAAAATGGGTCAAACTCATGTATAGTTACCCTAGGTGTACCATAGTAAATAATGGCTATTTCTCAGAAAGTTTTAAACTGTCAAGAGGAGTGAAACAAGGTTGTCCACTATCGGCATATCTATTTATTGTGGCCATCGAGATGTTAGCTATTAAAATCAGATCCAACAATAATATCAGGGGATTAGAAATCCAGGGCTTAAAAACAAAGGTGTCATTGTACGCTGATGATTCATGTTTTCTTTTAAATCCACAACTAGAATCACTCCACAGCCTCATAGAGGATCTATATACATTTTCTAACCTCTCTGCATTACAACCAAATTATGACAAATGTACTATATTAAGTATTGGATCAATAAAAAATACAATTTTTACATTGCCATGTAGTTTACCAATAAAATGGTCTGATGGTGATGTGGATATACTCGGAATACATATCCCAAAGGAAATAAATGATCTCACTTCAATAAATTATAATAGAAAGTTAGCAAAAATAGATAAGATCTTGCTACCATGGAAAGGTGGGTGCCTGTCAATTTGTGGAAAAATCACCCTGATTAATTCTTTAGTATTATCCCAGTTTACCTATTTGCTTATGGTCTTGCCTACACCTAGCGAACAGTTTTTAAAATTATATGAGAAAAAAATATTCCATTTTATTTGGAACGGCAAGCCAGACAAAATTAAACGGGCCTATTTATATAATGAATATGAATTCGGAGGACAGAAATTATTAAATATTAAAGCATTAGACCTATCACTAAAAGCTTCAGTCTTACAAAAGTTATACTTAAATCCGAACTGGTTCTTTAGCAAATTAGTAAGATTGTCTCACCCAATGTTCAAGAATGGCCTTTTTCCCTTTATTCAGATTACAACCACTCACTTTCAGTTATTTGAAAAGGAAATAATCTCCCAGATATCACTATTTCTAAAACAAGCCATAGAAAGTTGGTTGCAATTTCAATTTAATCCTCCAGAACCGACAGAACAAATAATGCAACAAATATTGTGGTTAAACTCAAATATACTAATTGACAAAAAACCTTTTTTTTTTTGACAAAATGTTTAAAAAAGCTATAATCTTTGTAAATGATATCATCGGTAGGACTGATGGAGTTATGTCGCACATGCAGCTAACAAAAACATATGGAAATGTCTGCTCTACCCAAAATTACAACCAAATAACTGCAGCCTTACCGCAAAAATGGAAGAGGAAAGTGGAAGGAGGAGAAAGTAAGGAACTTGTCTGTCGGCCTTGCATTAAAGAACATAATTGGTTAAGGAAAACTATGATAAATAAAAAGGTATATCAGTTTCATTTAAGGACCAAGGGATTGACAGCCGTCCCATATAGATTGCAAAATAGTTGGGAAGAGATTTTTGACGTACCGATCCCATGGCATAGTGTTTATGAACTGATACGCAAAACGACACCGGGTTTCAAAACTTAGAATCTTTCAATTTAAATTATTATATAAAATTCTTGCTACCAATAGAATGTTATTTATATGGGGAATACAATCTTCCCAGCTCTGCAGATTTTGCTGCGAAGAGACAGAATCATTAGATCATTTGTTTTGGTACTGTCCATTTGTAGCTTGTTTTTGGACACAGGTCCAGGAATGGCTAAAGGATTGCAATATTTACCTGGAGCTAATCCTGCAGATAGCACTACTGGGTGATCTGAAAAGTCATAGTCAATCGATCAATAACATAATAATACTATTAGCAAAAATGTTTATTTTCAATTCACAATCTGTAGAAACAATGAGAATAGAAAGGTTCAGAACTTTTGTAAGACATCACAGTACAGTTGAAATATATATGGCAAATAGAAATCCTATATGGATGGTGTTAAAAGATAGATGGGAGGTGTTGAATGGAATTGAAGGATGGGACTAATAACAGCTTTTGTGAAGGAGCACAGTTAGAAAGATATGGCATATAGAAGCAAACCGGATGGACATCATGAAAATGATCGGAGAGGTTGAGAGTAGAACTAGTTCAGGAGAAAGAACAAACAAAATATAATTACTGTAAAATTGACTGTGTCCATAAAATGTAGATAGTGGGTATGGGCTGGAAGTAGAGGCCTAGGCGTTGTTGTTCACTAGTTTACTCCAAGTGGGGAAAGGGTGGCGGGGTTGGAAAGTAATAAAGGGGAATATATATATTTTTTAAAGTAAGTAAGTAAGTAAGTAAGTAAGTAAGTGTGTGTGTGCGTGCGTGCGTGCGTGCGTGCGTGCGTGGTCCTCTGTAGCTCAACTGGTAGAGCACGGCGCTTGTAACGCCAAGGTAGTCGGTTCGATTCCTGGGACCACCCATACACAAGAAACGTATGCACGCATGACTGTAAGTCGCTTTGGATAAAAGTGTCTGCTAAATGGCATATTATTATATATATATATATATATATATATATATATATATATATATATATATATAAAAACATGGGGGATTGGAAGTGATGCAGACAATTACATTGATGGAAGTTACAATCTATCTGCAATATTAAGCTGATCTACCCCCATAAAAAAAAAAAAGGGGGAATGTCTGCCCAATCTGACCCCCATCCATTGAAGGAGCCAAATAACAGTGCCAAACGACCCAATAGTAGTAGTGTCTTTCAGGGTTATTTCCTCTGGTCAGGTTTCTCATAAGCCATTTCGATTTATGCTCCTGGCTTGGGTGCTTTTAAGGTGTGCAACGTTCCACGAAAAAAAACACATCTACCTTGAGAAAAGCATTAGGGGGTTAGAGGGGAGGGACAGGAGAAGGGAAAACATTGTAGAGGGCTTACACATCATCCATGGAGGTGGGAGGTGGAGGGGGGTAGAGGTGGAGGTGGGTAGAAGGTATTCTTCTCGCCACACTGTCATTCATCCATATGGGCCCATCTGCAATTTCCTTCCCCTTTCTCGTCCTCCTTGTCCCCTTCCTTGCAGCTGAAGTCCTTGTCAAATATACCAAATGGGACAAATACAACAGAGTGGCTCTCAGTCCAGGGCATCAGATTAGAACCACTGTTCATTTCCTCCCTCTCTCCCTCCCTGTGCCCTCGACTCAGGCTCAGCCCAGCGGTGGTTGGGCAGCCACGGTAGCAGTCATTTCATGCCCGATACGGAGAGTGACGTGTGAGTTTGACAGATGCAGGGATTACAATGCCAGACAAGACAAGGCTGTCTGCTCAGTGTTGGAGAGCTGAGGCTGAGGTCATTGTGCAGTGCTCCCTTGCATAAGGAAATGTTTTCTTCCAGGAGTCATTCTATTTGGTTAGTTCTCTAATATAACTAAACGAGGAACATAAGGGGAGAGTGAGAGAACTCATTGGTGACCACAGCATGTGTCGATGTGACCTCACAAGAGAACATGAATGACCTCTGTATCTGAAACATTGGAATGGACGTACCTGTCAAAGTCATATACTGGATAACGTTAACCTTTCATCCCCAAAAAGCCTGGTTGTGATTACTGCCTCCAGAGGCCACAGGAAGTCAGGAGGACTCCCCCAGAAAGTTGGGTAGGTCATTGTGGGTCTCAAAACTCTTCCAATCCCTCAACAGGAGTCTCAATTTATCAATGTAATGGACCCTCTTTTGGACGGGTAGCCGTTGCTCAAATTGACCCTAGTTTTTCATACCAGTTCTCCGGTGAGTAGTGATGGTGTGTATACCAGTTGGTCTTCACAGAAAGATATGAAGCACAGCACACACATCCTCCCCTCCCCCAGTCACCTGACAGTTGTAATCCAGTGGATTAATCCACATCAGTGCAGCAGTTGACAGCTATCACTGAGAAAAGCTCCAATAATCTCACTAACGTCCACCATCCATTAAATAATAACCATGGCAGTAACACACTTAACAATGAAGCCTACAGAGACAGTGGGTGGGTGGATGGCAGTTGCCTACGTGTCAGACAACTCTCGCCCTGCATGACCTCCTGACTCAGGGCAAAGTTCATTCACTATCTCAAGCCAATTTCCTTGTGGAATGTACAAATGAAAGATGTGTTGAAAATGCATTGACTGTATTGATAATGTGTTGCAATGTAATGAAAATATATTTACACCCAGTCAAACACAGGTTTGAAATGCATTTTCAGTTTGCAGGTTTTTTGCAAGTTATATTGAAAATCTGTCAAATGACAAGTTGTGTGACATTCTCAGTAGAGTCATTACATATCAATGTGATTATTTAGGTCATTACATCACTTAATCTCTCACAGCAGGCAGTCACTGGGAATAAGCAAGAGGACAATCGACATGGTCATTGATTTGTCATTGTGTGTTTTATATAGAACCTACTGTCGTATACCTGCCTGTCCTGCTCCATTCAACATAGGACAGAGCCAACGTAATACATAAACAAATAAACAATAAATACATGTATTGTTAGAGCAATAGTCTTTCTTCAGCAACAGGCATTCAGTGTGTTTTTAAACCCTGGTTAACCGGGGTAGTGGACTACACTTGAAACGTACAGTCATTCAATAATCGTCTGGTTTCCAGGACACATCTTTTCTGTTTTTACAGAGTTTGTTTTGGGTGTCTGTACCTGCTAGATCTTGACTTTGTCCATGTCTATGGTTGACATGGGCACCTCCTCCTGAACAGCCACACCCCCACCGGTCTGGCAGCAGTTGTGCTGGTGCTCCTTCCAGTCCTGCAATAAGAATAAGGCAGACTAAAGGAGTGAGACAAGCGGTCAGTGGTGGGTGGGTTGGGGGACGATTCAATCTCCACACAATTTCAGGAAGTAATGTTTTGCCCTCATTGTGCCTGTTTTTGGTTCCTAAGAGTAGGCTATTTGATTGAAATACGCCCCCACTACTGACAAGGGACCAGTAGTGGGGAGGGTGGTGGGCTGTGATCCAATCAGTAGACTTGATGACCTGACATGTTCATGGGTCCTAAGATACCTTTTATGGCCTGCAGAACGCTTAGCGAAATTAAGCCGAGCTGACACGACCCCTGACAACTTAGTTCAGTGACACAGTCTGTAGAGGGTTAAGTCTTACCTTTCTCTGACAGAAGGTAGAACAGTAGTTGACCTTGTGGCATCCCGTGCATTGGCTCATGGCCTCCCGTCCACAGTTCACACACATTTGCTGTGGGAGAGAAAGTCACAGAATGGAATCGAATTACAATCTAAAAAAGGGAAAGAATTGATTTGCAAATGAACTGGAAATCAGATGAGGCAGGTCATACTTAGCACGATAGAAGAGGTTTGATTTGTTGTTACTCAGCCCCATACAGCGCTACCACACTACACGACACTCTCTACCACGCAGACACACAAGTACCCCTGAGACATGCCCTCTGACATATCACCGCCATAGCCCACTTGTGATTCCTTACAACCAAACCCCAACAAACAACACAACAACAACAACAACAACAACAACAACAACAACAACAACAACCCATCAACAGGCTCCAGTTGTGATGTGTGAAAACAAATTGCTTCTCCAGGGGAACCAAGAGGCACAAAATGTCACCGCTGGCTTTTTTGTTGATATGATGCCAGGGTTACATTTCCCTTTCCACCCCTTCTATCTAACAAATGCTCTCAGGTGGGAGAAGTCATGTGGCTTCAAGGTTGTTTGTTTCTCCCGTATCTCTATATTGTTTGTGTGTGAGAAGTAGCAGGTGTGATATTTCAACCAGCTCTGACAGTTTTATCCTCCAGGGGAGACCTGGATCAAAGAGGCCTTTTCTCTTTAATGGATTGAATGGAACGCAGCAAAGAGAAAGAAAGAGAGAAAGAAAGAACGAACGAGAGAGAGAGAAAGAATGAACGAACGAACGAACGAGAGAGAGAGAGAGAAAGAAAGAAAGGTCTCTCCATGTACCTTGATGATGATCTCAGTGATTTCTGAGCCTCTCTTCCCCTCTGGGTCATCTGGGTGCTGGAATGATATCTGACTCTGGAAGGGCTGGGTGAGTGTACACTGCAAGAGGGAAGACCGCAAATTGAAGTCAAACTAAAATTCAACAACAACACCTCAATAGACACCCAGCATTTCCCCTGGGTCATGTTCAATAGGCACAAAATAGAAGAAAATGCTAGTGTGAAAACATTTCACTATATTGTGCCCTAATGACCAGGACACTGGACTAACCACCAGGGTCTCCACCAGTCCCCTCACCTCCTTCCTGCTGCCGTGGACCTTGTCCTGGTTGAAGGCGTCCTGGCCTGCCTGGCAGTGGCAGGCCTGCTTGGCCTGGTCGATCAGGGCCTTGAGCTGCTGCACCGTGCTTAGCAGGCTGTTGGCCGTCTCCTCCAGGTAAAGCCAGGTCCTCTGGCCCTCCCCAACCCCAGACACCTCCAGCCCTCCGTTCACCAGCCCCAGGGAGGGGGAGGAGGATGGAGACACCATCTTGGCCTGGGGGGCCATGGCCAGGGCCGGGATCGCTGTCAACACTGTAGGGAGAGAGGGAGGGGTTAGATTGTACGTTTGGAATGGAAAGGTTTAATGAGAGTATTCATTAATAATTTCTTAATTATTTGAGGCAAGGAATGTGGAATATTAATTATGAATCAATATACTTTCAATAAGTGCATTGGTATCCATACAATGTTTGATGGAAAAACAATCAATACATTGGTTGACAGAAAACAAATGTATGTACGTAACATATGTGCAATTGATAAGAATGTTGGGCCAGTCCGATTAATATGGAAGCCAAATATAAATCAGGGCAAAAACTACTTTCTGAAATCGTGTCAACCCCAACAATAGCTGCCCTTCCTCAACCCACACCTAGTAACTCCAGATGTGACTCCTTATTTCATGCTTCCAAAAAAAAAGAGTGGAAAGGAGGGAAACGTGGGTGGAATGAGGGAGAGAATTAGGCCAGATAACAGCCTGCCTGCCCCACACATTGTCCAAGCGTCATGGAGGAGAGATACGTCTGTGGCAGTGGTGGTCAGTGCTGTTTAAGATAAGGTAGGACGATAATTTTTTTCATGAGCATGTCCTTATTTCTATTACAGCATATTGGATGACTGTCATTCATTTTCCATTCACCCAGTTCAATGTAACATCGATAGGTTTAGGCTACTACATGATACTCTAATTTTCCCTATACCCATCATGGAGGTTGCTACAACCTAGCATATGAATTAACATTTACAACGTAGGTGCACACAGGTCGAGAGAAGAATTTGAGGTGACAGACAGTGACACATGGTCAGACAGTGACATTCAATACCGCCTTGCACACTCTTGCCTGCATATAGCTGATATAGGGTGTAATCATTAGTCCAACAGTTGCAAACGAGAGTTTCTATTGCACACATTCAGGTATGTTTATCCCCGTTTTGTTCCCTTTGCTTCCGTTTAAGAAACGTTTTTCAACAGAATCGGCGGAATGAAAACACCCCTGATCACGCGTAAACACAGTTCACTTTCATAGCAGCCATGTTGTATTCCTTCTCGCATCTATGCGCTCTCCTCCTCTAACCGCTTCCTTTCGCTTGTGGACTTCAATGCACAACACATCAGCTGTATGTGACCAGGCGAAAAAACCTTTCCAAGCCAAACCGCTACACACAACCTACATCATTCTCACCGTATTAGCTAAAGTAACATCAAGGTTAACATAGCTAATAGAACTAATGCGTTAGTAAACCCGCTACAATCATGCAGTAACGTTAGTGTACAGTCAGTAAGCAGTTACACCGGCGGGCCCCGGTGGCAATAGATTAGTAAAACCAAAAGAAATGACACTCTCTCTCTCTTGCTTCTCCTTCATTTTGGATTAAATTAATTTGTTCAAAACTGTTGAACTATTGTCTTTCTTTCTCTTTGAGTCAACTACTCACCACATTTTATGCACTGTAGTGCTAACTAGATGTAGCTTATGCTTTCAGTACTAGATTATATTAATTATCTGATCCTTTGAATGGGTGGACAACATGTCAGTTCATGCTGCAAGAGTTCTGATAGGTTGGAGGACGTCCTCCGGAAGTTGTCATAATTACTGTGTAAGTCTATGGAAGGGTGAGAACCATGAGCCTCCTAGGTTTTGTATTGAAGTCAATGTACCCAGAGGAGGATGGAAGATAGCTGTCCTCTGGCTACACCATGGTGCTACCCTACAGAGTGCTGTTGAGGCTACTGTAGACCTTTTTTGCAAAATAATGTGTTTCAGTCAATTATTTGGTGACACGTGATTATATTTAGTATAGTTTTATCTAAAAAGGATAGCTTTATTAATGTTTTACTATTTTTTTTAAATGAAATTCACTGAGGAGGATGGTCCTCCCCTTCCTCCTCTGAGGAGCCTCCACTGGTCTGTGGCTCAGGGAAAGGTATAATAATCATAGGGTTCCACCAAGCAGCACACCGATGGGAGAGATGAAAGCCCACCAGTGATTTATCTTCCTCCAACTGTACCAGAGAGCACAGCAGAACAGACAAAGAGCAACAACAGTCTAAACAAAAAAAACACAACTACTCTGGAGAGAGGAAGATGGAAGGAGAGAGGGGGAGATGGAAGGAGAGAGGGGGAGATGGAAGGAGAGAGGGGGAGATGGAAGGAGAGAGGGGAGATGGAAGGGAGCAGGGGGAGATGGACGGGGAGGGGGCGAATGAGGAGCGAGGGGTGTAGATCGCTGCAGGAGTGAGGGGGAGTCTCTGGTATCTTCCTCATCTTGGTCTCTTTCACTGTCTCTAACTTTTGAGCTCTTTCCTGGAAGGAGAGTGGGAGATGAAGAGAGAGCACCATCATATACATCACAGTAGCCCTAACAACACACACACACACACACTGCATGAGGCTCAAGACACACTGCATGCAGTCATATACAGTGCATTCGGAAAGTATTCAGACCCCTTGACTTTTTCCACATTTTGCTAAGTTACTCTGTTATTTTAAAATAGATTAAATTGATATTTTTCCCTCATCAATCTACACACAATACCCCATAATGACAAAGCAAAAACAGGTTTTTAGAAATGTTTGCAAATGTATTAAAAATAAAAAACGGAAATATCACATTTACATAAGTATTCAGACCCTTTACTCAGTACTTTGTTGAAGCATGTTTCGCTGAGATTACAACCTCAAGTCTTCTTCAGTATGACGCTACAAGCTTGGCACAACTGTATTTGGGGAGTTTCTCCCATTCTTCTCTGCAGATCCTCTCAAGCTCTGTCAGGTTGGATGGGGAGTGTCACTGCACAGTTATTTTCAGTTCTCTACAGAGATGTTCAAATCGAGTTCAAGTCCAGGCTCTGGCTGGGCCACTCAAGGACATTCAGAGACTTGTCCCGAAGCCACTCCTGCGTTGTCTTGGTTATGTGCTTAGGGTCGTTGTCCTGTTGGAAGGGGAACCCTCGCCCCAGTCTGAGGTCCCGAGCGCTCTGGAGCAGGTTTTCATCAAGGATCTCTCATTTAAAAAAAGTTATCCTTTTTAGATAAAACTATACTAAATATATTCACGTCACCAAATAAGTAAAACACACAGTTTAGCAATGAAGGTCTACGGTAGCCTCAGCAGCACTCAGTAGGGTAGCACCATGGTGTAGACGGAGGACAGATAGCTTCCGTCCTCCTCTGGGTACATTGATGTCAATACAAAACCTTGGAGGTTCATGGTTCTCAACCCCTTCCATAGACTTACACAGTAATTATGACAACTTCCGGAGGACATCCTCCAGCCCATCAGAGCTCTTGCAGCATGAACTGACGTGTTGTCTACCCAATCAAAGGTACAGAGGATGAACCTAGTTCTGAAAGAATAGGCTACAGCTAGCTAGCACTGCAGTGCATAAAATGTGGTGAGTAGTTGACTCAAAGAGAGAGAAAGACAATCGTTGAACAGTTTTGAACAAATTAATTTCTTCAAAAATGAATGAGGAGCAAGAGAGAGAGATATTTAGTCAAATTATTTTTTTACTTTCACTTACTTAGGTAGCAAATACAGCTAGCTAGTTTAGCCTATTCAAACACCTGGCTCAAACAGAGGGATGCTATGTTAGCTAGCTGGCTACGACTATCAAACATTGGAACTCTTCCAAGTCAAGGTAAGCGTTTGGTTTTACTAAATTATTGCCACCGGGGCCCGCCGGTGTAACTGTTAAACTGCTTACGGGTTTACTAATGCGTTAGTTTTATTAGCTATGTTGACTATGACGTTACTTTAGCTAATATGGTGACAAACATTTTGGCAGTGTGTAGCAGTTATGATATGAAGGTTTGGCTTGGAAAGGTTTTTTCACCTGGTCACAAAAAGCTGATGTGTTGTGCAGGAAAAGGTGAGAGGAAGAGAGCGCATAGATGCAAGAAGGAATACAACAAGCTGTTTGTATGTGGCTATGAAAGTGAACTCTTTGCGTGTGATTAGGGGTGTATTCATTCCGCCGATTCTATTGAAAAACTTTTCTTAAAACGGAAGCAAACGGAACGAAACGGGGATGAACATACCTGAATTTGTCCAATAGAAACTTGTTTGCAACTGTTGGACTAATGATTACACCCTAGATCAGCTAGATGCAGGCAAGAGTGTGCAAGGCGGTATTGAATGTGTCACTGTCTGTCCATGTGTCACCTCAAATCTTTCTCTGGACCTGATTGCACCTACGTTGTAAACTTTAATTTATAGGCTGTAGCAACCTCATGATGGGTATAGGGACAATTCGAGTATCATGTAGTAGCCTGAACCTATCGATGTTACATTGAACTGGGTGAATGGAAAATGAATGACAGTAATCCAATATGCTGTAATAGAAATAAGGCCATGCACATAAAAAAAATAAGAATTGTCCTCCCTCATCTTAAAAGGAACCGACCGCCACTGGTGTGTGCATGGACGTGCATGTGGTTGTGTGTGTGTGTGTGTGCATGAGTAAAAGAGATCTTCAGGGAGTAGTGGTCTACTGAGTGGCGCAGTGGTCTAAGGCACTGCATCGCAGTGCTAGCTGTGCCACTAGAGATCCTGGTTCGAATCCAGGCTCTGTCGTAGCCGGCCGCGACCGGGAGACCCATGGGGCGGCGCACAATTGGTCCAGCGTCATCCAGGGTAGGGCAGGGAATGGCCGGCAGGGATGTAGCTCAGTTGGTAGAGCATGGTGTTTGCAACTCCAGGGTTGTGGGTTCGATTCCCAAGGGGGGGTATATAAAAAATAAATACTCAAAAACAAACTAATGTATGCACTCACTAACTGTAAGTCGCTCTGGATAAGAGTGTCTGCTAAATGACTAAAAATGTAAATGTAAAATGTACACTCTCACACAGCAAACTCCAGACAAAATGCTATATTTGCAAACAGACTGATTGTATGCAGTTTCCAGAGCACTGAGACAATGGCTCAGGCTGTGTTGATGGTCGGCCTGTTTGTGTTGTGGCATCATAATACGGAATGATCTGAGGATGCTGAGAGAGAAAGCGCGAGAGAGAGCGAGAGCTTGAGAGTGAGCGAGATAAATATGGGAAAGTGAGCGATAAAAAGATGGGGCTGAGAGGAGAAAGAAATATATGGAAGAGAAAGAAAGTGAAGGAAACAGAGACAGAAATATGTGGAAGAGAGAAAAAGATATAGAATGAGAGCAAAGAGAAAGCGAGACTAAGAACGAAAGAGTCAGAGAAAGAAGGTGAGAGAAAGTGTCAGAGAAAGAAGGTGAGAGAAAGTGTCAGAGAAAGAAGGTGAGAGAAAGTGTCAGAGAAAGAAGGTGAGAGAAAGTGTCAGAGAAAGAAGTTGAGAGAAAGTGTCAGAGAAGAAGGTGTGAGAAAGTGTCAGAGAAGAAGGTGAGAGAAAGTGTCAGAGAAGAAGGTGAGAGAAAGTGTCAGAGAAGAAGGTGAGAGAAAGTGTCAGAGAAAGAAGGTGAAAGTGTCAGAGAAAGAAGGTGAGAGAAAGTGTCAGAGAAAGAAGGTGAAAGTGTCAGAGAAAGAAGGTGAGAGAAAGTGTCAGAGAGAGAAGGTGAAGGTGAGAGAAAGTGTCAGAGAAGAAGGTGAGAGAAAGTGTCAGAGAAAGAAGGTGAAAGTGTCAGAGAGAGAAGGTGAAGGTGAGAGAAAGTGTCAGAGAAGGTGAGAGAGTGATAGTGTGAGAGAGACTGATAGAGAGAGGGCTCTTGAGAGGAGTGACACCTGTGATCTCCACCTGTAAAGCCTTGGTGGGAATAGAGGACCAACTTCCTGGAGATAGCAACACCCCACAGCCGAGGAGAGAAATAACTCCCTCAACTAATGTAGTTCCTCATTGTTCACTTGAAAAGACAGTGAGCGGGGGGTGAGAACAGGACTCTAGAACAGACAGTGCCGTCCTAACTAGGTGGCTAGAGAGAACAAAGAGATGCCTGCTGAAAACAAAGACAGCACGCCAGGCAGACAGAGAGTGCTTCGGTCTATACCAGGGCTCTCCAACCCTGTTCCTGGAAAGCTACCGTCCTGTAAGTTTTTGCTCCAACCCTAATCTAGCGCACCTGATTCTAATAATTTGCTGGTTGATAAACTGAAATCAGGTTAGTTACAACTGGGGTTGGATTGAAAATCTACAGGAGGGTAGCTCTTCAGGAACAGAGTTGGAGAGCCCTGGTATATACATTAAACCAAGACAGCAGGCAGGCAGAGTGCGCTTCGGTCTATACACTTTTGAGTCTCACACTGGCTTCTCACAGTACTGAGCCAAAACCAAGGTGTCCTATTGCTGAGCATTTAGTGCTTTTTGAGGTTGGTTCGGTTTCGCTTCTTACAAAATAATCACGGTTTTCGATTTTGATGATTTTTTTTAAAACATGAAATGCACAATGAAATAATGACATTAAACTGATTTTAGAGCTTCTTAATTGAACTTGCAATGCCAAAGAAATGTGAACATTCAATTGACAAAACAAAATATTCAATTTTCTCTGTCAGGTCCACATTGGGTAGACAATGGAAAAATAGGAAATTACTATGAAATAATAACATTTCCATTGTGTATCTTAGGCTACTTAGTTTTTGTTTGATGACTTTATTATTTTTAATTCCTTAAAGTCACAATCTCATCTCTGCTCAGGGCGTAGCAGTCAGCCAGCCAGACCATCCAACATTATCTCTGTGCTCCTCATACTGTACTGTCTTTAGTCATCCTATTTAGCTAGCCTAGCCTGCCTAAGTATGCTGCAGAGCTTTCTGACAAGATCATTTTACTAGTTTTTCAAACTAGATACGGCATACTTTCACAAACTGTCTATCTCTCTCATTATTGTGTTGTGTAAATTCCTCTCTCACGCGGTCTACGCGATCTGTGTAAAAGTGTATCAAATAACAGATGCAATTTATTATGGTCATTGTAGTTAAATACCATGTTTCTGCGCTGAACTAGGTTGAATATTTGCTTAATGGAAACTACAACTCCCTTCAGCCCACTGAAGGGAGTTATACTGACTTGATTTCTGTCTTGAATGATTTGATTTCTTTCAAGAGAAACGGTGGGTTGGGCTCACAAAAAAATTTATAACCGGGCAATTAGATGTTTAATAACCGGGGTAAAAAACACAAACACCTCATCCCGGAAACAGTCTGGTACATGAGGTGGACTATCAGTCTCAGCCTCCCCTCCACTCCACTGGGCGACCATTGTGAGGGGCTCCCCTTCCCTTCTCCTCACTAGGCGGCTCCTAAAATAACCAGGCATCCATCTTTGCCGGGGGCTTAATTGTGTGGTGAGCCAGGGAGAGTGAGCGATGAGAACAGAGAGAGAGAGAGAGAGAGGTCTCTCCATGTACCTTGTTGATGATCTCAGTGAGAGAGAGAGAGTATGTGTAGAGCAGGAGGTGTGTGTGTGCATGCGTGAGTCTGTATGTCGAGAGAGAGAGGGGATCATGACAGTACGTCAGAGCAGCACTCTAAATTAGGATGGGGGCGTTGGTCGGAGGCAGCGTCTGCTGACAACTGTCATCCTCGGGCGACCAGGATCTGCACGATGCAGGAAGGAGGAAGGCTTCTGGAGGAGGTGTGAGCAGGTAGGAGAGGGAGGAGAGGTAATAAACACCTAAAGGTTACACCAATGTACTTCTAAAAGTATTTCTATACAGGTCTCCTCCCCTTCTGGCCAATGATCTCATTCTGAAAGTACCGCATATTGGGTAGTGATATGACCTATTTAGGACATTTAACCTACTGTATAAGTACCCTACCAATGAAGGAAAAAAGCACAGGAGGGATGTTTGAGAGACTTGGCACATGGACTCAACAAAGCAAAGCAGGATCGCCATCAAAAATCTATACAATAATATCAAAACAGAGAAACGTCATCCACCTCCATCTTTTGAGACCGCTGCTTTCACAACCACATCTTCCCACCATCCTCATAGAGCAACATAGTGGCTGCCAGGCAGCTATCAAGGACATAGCAGCATTACCATACAAGGCTTTGCGCTAGTCGCTTTACAAGAGCACCTACTCTCTCTGCCATCCTGAAGAACCACCACCCAACACCGAGTTCATTACTAAATAACTAGAGAAGTTCATTACTGGCTAGGGAAGTTCATTACTGGCTAGCCAACCAACCCACGCAAGTCAGGTCCGTGCTTTACTCTTACCGCCAACCAGATGGCTAATTAAGCCCAGAGATCGTCTTTAATCTTAACGCTGGGAGCAGTCACACAGAGGATGCGGCTCACACCATTACAGCTGGCTGAGTAGGGGTAGTCTGCTGTATACCTGTCTGGCTCACAGGGAGGGTGGATGGGTGTACTGGACTTAATGTAGAGGGACTGAGCAGCAAACGCCAGTCATTCTGGCCAGAATTGGTTGGAATCCAGTATAGACCATGGAGAGCAAACTGCAACTCTTTAAGAGAGGAAAGAACAATGCAAGATAGAAAGAAACAAAGGGATGCAAATATATAGGAGAATATCAATAGGGGGAGGAGGAAAAAAAGGGGGAGTGAAATGGTTAAACGTTAAAATGGTAATTGTGGTCATTTTACACATGGGGAGCGGAGCGCGTCGGTCGGACGGGTATCCCTGTCAGAGACGCTTTGTTACTGAGGAGGCGTCCCCCAGGAGCTCGTTAGCTAGACAGATGAACGGAATGCACGTCACACACACGCACAAACCAATCAGGACACAGACACGGCCCGGGCATCCCTGGGTTTTGATAGGATGATTAATAGGGGGTGGATCCAGACTGCTGACTGCCGGGGACAGACAGGTAGCAGGTAATTGGGGCAGCCAGAGCCCAGTCTAATAGGGATTCCACCACTCACTACCAACCACAGGTCACATGACTCAGTCCCCTGTCCCCACTCGCTGTCTGTCTGACACACAGAGCAGAGGACTCAAGGACTGTCCAGCTTGCTTAGGGCAATATGTTAAATGTGCACGCCGAGCCCTGACCGGAAACCAGGTAAATACATCTATAGAGTCCACTTTGCTTGTGGAAATAGCTAGCTATGCATTTTGGATCCAGTTGTTATTTCAAAACCACTTTGTTTAATCAGAGTGACTCTGTGATATATCCTCTCAACTGAAGACCTTCGAGAAATGGATACCAAGCTATTGTGGAGGGCTAACCTACTGTAGGTACCTTCCGTGTGATGGTGGTGTGATGGAGGGGTAACCTACTGTAGGTACCTTCCGTGTGATGGTGGTGTGGTGGAGGGGTAACCTACTGTAGGTACCTTCCGTGTGATGGTGGTGTGATGGAGGGGTAACCTACTGTAGGTACCTTCCGTGTGATGGTGGTGTGGTGGAGGGGTAACCTACTGTAGGTACCTTCCGTGTGATGGTGGTGGGTGGAGGGGTAACCTACTGTAGGTACCTTCTGAGCTGGTGAAGACCTCGCCCTGTGCCGTGCCCTCAGAGAGAAGGGCTGTGGAGTCCCCGGGAGACGTCCGGTCGAAGGTCAGGGTCCCTGACGTGGTGATCTGGCCTGACGGAGATACTGTGACTGGAGTGCAGAAAGAAGACAAAGACAACGCATTGATTGATAATTGATTGATTGACTGATCTCAGAATAAAAACGTTTGAGTGCTTTATCGATGCTTTATCTTGTCCCCAACTCCAGGGGCAGTGGGACTTGGAAACTACTTTTTACAAGCCAAGATACTTTGTGTCTATATGGTCAATAGCGCTGTGAGTCATCTGAAAGAAAAACTGTCTCAGAACATTGACAGCCAAAAACAATGCAATGTCATAAAGATATGGTCCAATATGCAGTAGATCTAAAACAAATGTAGGAACTATTATATTGGTAATAAAACAATTCAAAAGACGTAGGAGTCCATTTTGGTAGAGAGCAGGATAAAAATAAATTGCCTCAACAAAGCAATTGAAGATAAACAAAAGGAAACAGATGGAGCTGGATGGAGGTATTCCCATTGTAAGTGATAAGAAAAGATGGAGCTGGATTGAGGCACAGACAAGCTTAATTTCCCCTGGGACAATGTTGCACTCAATGGTATTCCAACTTGTTCAGCGGGGACCCCATTTTTTCACCAGAATTTCTGGCAACCCCACCCCAAATCTAATGACAGCCTTGAAATCGGTAAATTTAGATTTTCACAAATAACATTCCATTCTGTAAGGGATCGGGGGTTGGCAGGATCTAGACAGAGTCTGACACTTCCCCGAACTACTGAGAGGGGGAGTCATCAGACTCGATCTGGTTCACCTGAGTTCTGAGCACACCTGTCAGTAATTAGTGTAGGATTTAAGGTGTGCTCAGTCGGCGCGAGGTATTGTTCCATTGTGACTTGCTAAGCGTTTTGTTCAGAGAGAGAGAGAGAGAGAGAGAGAGAGAGAGAGAGAGAGAGAGAGAGAGAGAGAGAGAGAGAGAGAGAGAGAGAGAGAGAGAGAGAGAGAGAGAGAGAGAGAGAGAGAGAGAGAGAGAGAGAGAGAGAGAGAGAGAGAGAGAGAGAGAGAGAGAGAGAGAGAGAGAGTTTGTTGTTTTGATTACCCGTGTATCCGACCTGTGCCTTGTTGTTTGACTCCCCGAATTGCTTAATCCTCTACTTGTCTACCCCAGTGATTACCGTTCTCTGATCCTGTGCCTGTGACCTCGACTACGACTAAGCCCGCTCCTTTGGTACCTCTGCCTGTCTATGCCTGGCCCGGTTTTGACCACAGCCCGCCCGACCACGATTAAGCTATTCCCTTGTCTGTACTCTAATAAAGCATCGCTATTCTGCGATTGGATCTTACCACTCTGTCCGAGTATTCATTACACATTCATTGCATTTCATCTCTCTTTAGAGAACCAATAAATGCATTTACTAAATAAAAATCTATCTTCCAAATTATCTTTCTCAAAAACGTTTGTATATTGTCCAATAAAATAATCTGTACTCTCAATTCCCCCACCACCCTGACTTTGAATACCACTGTGCAAGCGACTGGCAGAGAACCTCTATGGGGTGTATACAAAACGGTGCCAACAGCTACCCTGTGGTGCCATTTTGACAAGGTAATCACAGGTGATGACTGAGCAGGATTTACTTTGTCCTCTGTCCTGTGCTTTGTCTTGTCTGTAACACATATTTAAAGACTTCCTTCTGAAAGATGGGACCCATTTATGTCATGCAAGAGGTTAAGGGGAGGATGTCGAAAACCCTTTAACCTCCAACAGACACCTGCTGAATCACTGTGACAGATGGCTCTGCTCTGCAGTGTCTGTCTGTGGCATCTGAAGAGTGTGTGCGTTAAGTTTTATTAGTCGTATGTAGAGGATACACATGGTATACACCATCCAATTAAATGCAACAATGTAACAACAAATATAAATAATAAAAGATAAGAATACGAATATAAAGTAAATGGCTCAATAGAACATAATAAACATTTAGCATAAGTATAATACAGGATGGCACAATTTATAGTCCAATATTTACACGTGTTTTGGGGAAGGGGGGATTGGGGGCAAGTGTTTAAATTGTGCAGTATTTCCCCTCTCCCTTTCTCTCTCTGTCCTAGTAGACTCATTTAGCTCTGTATTTGTGTGTGTAACTCACATGTTGCCCCCGGTGCCAGTGTGATGTTCTTGGGCGGTGGGAGTGGGAGGTCCTTCTTCTCTGGAGTGGTCGGCTGCTCGTTCTCCTTCTTGCGTCTCTTGTAAGGGACAAACAGTCTGACCGGGCCAGTCTGGACCAGAAGGAAAAGGGAAAGTTTAATCACAGACAACAGGGGAAACCCAAGTCTGAAGCATCCATTTAGAACCTCCACTCACCACCAAGTATGGTGATGACAGGAAGTCCAATGGCGGAAAGTAGGAGAAGATGGAGCCAGATGAAACCTTGCCGACATTATGCAAATGTTCTCATCGATTAAACATTCAATCTCAATGCAGTTTTCTGTTACCAAATCTAGAATCTGTTACAAACAGAGTGCACTACGTTTTATAGACTTCACCCTTTGCCAAAGTTTCAAGAAATTGTGTAGTTTAGGAGTGCAAGGGCGAATTGAGTTATAGAGTACCACAGTATGAGTCATAATACCCATCAAATCTAGCAGTCAAACAAGGAAATGGTTCCAATCGTTTTTCCACAATTAATTTATCCCATAGCGGATTTTAGAAACACTTAAAATAAGAGCTGTGTTTCGTGTAGGCTTACCCTGGCATGACATTTTGATAATTGTGTAAATCTCTCTAGGACAAGGTGACTTGAATCAATATATTCACCTGCATTCACCCCCAAAAAATGAAATACTAATTAGCTGCTAATGTGGCTATCATAAAGAACTACAAATGCCATGATGATCTGGATGAAACTGCGGTATCGAGGCAAAGGTAAGAATCTCTGGATTAACCATCTAATGTTAGCTAAATTTAGTAATTAATAAATTGGCAACATTTATTTAAATGGCCAATTCTGTGAACTGTCTCGCGCAAGTTTTAAATTGACACAATACCTGTTAGCAAATGGTGTCAGCTAGAGATGATGTGCAGGAGCTTGCAGGGATTTGTAGTCTTCCATGATGTCTACTTTGATGCTAATTAGCATTTTCGGATCTGAGCTTAACTAGAGTCGAATATATTGATAAAAGTCCCCTTGTCCGAGATCGATTTAAATGGTTATCAAAACGTCACGCCAGGGTAAGCCTACACAAAACACAGCCCTTATTTTAAGTGTTTCTAAAATCCCCTATGGGAAAAATGAATGGTGGAAAAACGATTGGAACCATTTCCCTGTTTCACAGGTTTTATGACACCTCCACTGTGGGGCTCTATTGTACACCCGCACTTGAGAGTGGGCGTCCTCTGACAGAAATATGCAAATACATGCTAAAACGCACCAATAGGATCTTGCTAGCTCGTGCTTGGCTCTGCCCACCTCCTTGCTTGTTCTGCCCACTGCTTCATTTGCTCCCATTGGAAACAACGCCGATGATAAATCTTGGGTTAGTTACCAGTATCTTTGGTATAATGATTGGTAAGCAATAATCGAGGAGGAAATAATATGTGATCAGTTTTTCCCCACACCTTCATGAACTGTTGGTCAGCTTGATTAGTTTCCGTAAAAAAACAAAAAACTGTTAACAGTTCTATAACAGAAACACTTAGAGGCAGCTGAATGTTCTGTTTCATGTGATCAACAAGCTCAGAAAAGATTGCCTTTGATGCAGATGGCAAAAGCAGCTGTGAAACAAAATATATGTTGGGCTGTAGGAAACAATTTCCCCCCTTATCTTACAAACAATAAACCCCTGGAGTCTATTATTTATGTCTGCCAGCCCAGGGACCCGCTATAGTGAGGATCAGAGGAAGAACCATCAAACTATCAAACACTTAACAGAGGCACAAGATTGGCTCATTGTTGTTTACATTATGGCTGGCAATGCATGTCATAAATAAATGGTACATACCATATTAATGTTCTCCCCTGCGTAAGATGGACTATCCTTGGTACACTAGGGGAAAATGTAAGACAAAGAGAATGTGATTGGACAAAACGTAAAATGAGAATTTCACAACCAGGCCTTTAGAAGTGATGACCAATATCTACATGTCATGCAAACCGCACACTGCAAACTGAGGGCCTGTATCGAGCAGTTCTGTATGTTACACCCATACCCTTGTGGCTTCCTATCCCTTGAGTTACCGGTACGTTCACAAGACATTCATTCACCAACATCTTTGTCTCTGTAAAGTCAATTAACTCACCGACGAGAGGTCGTCACAGCAGGCCGCACAAGTACAGGACGCGGCGTGGGGGTTGAGGATGCGCTCCTGAGGAACCAATCACATGGCTGGTTACTAAACAATTAGGTATATATATACCCTTAACTGTCTTCCACACAGCGGAGAGACAGACCGCAGGTGGCACAGTGCCATCAGATCCTGTCACGGCTGAGTGACTGGCTCGCTCACCTGGATTAGGCACTGCAGGGGACGGCCTGCATAGCGGATGCTTCTCTTCCAGTCCTTGCTGCTCGCCCGGCCAGACATGCCCTCAAACTCAGTGGGCGTGTACCAGTGGCTGCTGTGCTTGATGCAGCGTCCCTTTCCGCCTGATTGTCAGTCAATTGGACAGGCAGCAGAGACAAGACAACACGGTCGCAATTATTTACATGGAGATGGACATGTGAAGCTAATTATTAAGACTATCCTAGCCCCTTCATTCACCATAACCCATGTATTCTCAAGTTGAGGGAAGAAAATCTGTCATCTGGAAAATATGGCTTCTTTCAGACAACTTTTAGCAGCTGGATTTGTTAAAAACAATCAACTCCAGAGAACCACCCCTATTCCCTATACCGCCACTCCTCAACAAGTTTACACACTTATTTCTCCTTCCAGTCTTGATACTTCAATTACAGGTCATCAGGGTGGCTGCGGTTTCCAGCCAGGGCTGAGGAAAGTGATGGATCCTAAACTGTCCTCATCTTCAAACCAAGAGCTCCACCTTGTGGCCACACCTAGACCTACCTGAGCCCAGTCTGTTCTTGTACAGCATGCCGCTGGTGTTCCTGCAGCGCACTGGCAGCTCGTTGTTGTACACAGACGGGTCCCAGTTGTACTTGGAGCCATCTTTCTCCTGCCCTGGGTTCATTGGGGTGGAGGGAGTCTGGGGGCCTGGGGACGACAGGACAACACACAACACTGAAGTTACAGAGACACCTGAAATGTATTTCAGATAGCCTGACGACTCACTAAATTCTTCCGCTGCTCTGTCGTTCACTACATACTTTAGTCTGAGACTGCCATCATTGAAGTCGTTTGTAGTGACGAGGGGCGTTGTACAAAACAAAGTCAACAGCGATTGGATCGTCTCTAACCAATCAGAGTATCAAAGCCAATGACATTTTCAAACCGCCACTTTACCAACGTGCTTTCTGGCTCTGGCTCAACCCATTGGTTTCTGGACCAATCAGATGGCCCCAAATGTGTTGGCATTCAGTGAAGGGTCGGGGAGGTACTCAGATCCAGACTCATTGGGGAGAAGAAAGTAACGTACTTGGGCGTGTCGTAGCATTTGGCCAGAGCAAGGAATCTGCGTGGCCAGGCAATATTTCAGAGGCCATATACAGCTTTAGACATAATTTAATTTAGCAATGATCCTGTCTTGGTCTTGGCTAGGCATCTCTGGAATAAAATCATACAGGTCAAAGCAGATGCAGCTATCTATTTGCTACAAGTCCATTACAACAACTTTCCCAGCACCGTAATGCTAGGTGATGGTACGAATTTTATACAATACTTTCTATGAAAAGTATTGTACAAAATACAGGTGCATTGAGATTCCCTGGTGCATACCAGAGGTCATGGCGGCTGCAGCGTTCTTCAGTCCTGTTGCGTCCACTATGCTCCCATCAGTGTGAACCACTATCAGAGTGGCCTTCTGGGGATTGAGACCGTCGCCAATCTGTAGGGTGGTCCTGCCAGTCTGTCATGTGATGGAGGATCAGAGAGAAACATTACATTGCAGTCTGTGCTGCTGGGTAGGTGATGTGACATATGGGTCTGGTTTTCCATGGTCTGTTTCTTTTCAGATTAGTTGTTGGAAATTATAAACTGGGTGGTTCGAGCCCTGAATGCTGATTGGCTGACAGCCGTGGTATATCAGACCATATACCACGGGTATGACAAAACATTAATTTTTACTACTCAAATTGTACTACCCCTCCCCCACCCCCCATTAACAAATAAAAAAAAAACTGGCTATCATAAGTTGAATGCACCAATTTGTAAGTCGCTCTGGATAAGAGCGTCTGCTAAATGATGTAAATGTAAATGTAACCAGTTTATAATAGCAAATCAAATCAGATTTTATTTGCCACATGCGCCAAATACAACAGGTGCAGACATTACAGTGAAATGCTTACTTACAAGTCCTTAACCAACAATGCATTTTTTTTAACAAAAACAAAAACAAAAAAAAGTGTTAAGTAAAAAAATAAAAGCTAATAACTAAAGAGCAGCAGTAAAATAAAATAACAGTAGGGAGGCTATATACAGGGGGGTACCGGTGCAGAGTCAATGTGCGGGGGCACCGGCTAGTCGATGTAATTGAGGTAATATGTACATGTGGGTAGAGTTAAAGTGACTATGCATAAATAATAAACAGCGTAGCAGCAGCGTAAAAGAGGGGGGGGGGGGGGGGGCAGTGCAAATAGTCCAGGTAGCCATGATTAGCTGTTCAGGAGTCTTATGGCTTGGGGGTAGAAGCTGTTGAGAAGCCTTTTGGACCTAGACTTGGCACTCCGGTACCGCTTGCCGTGCGGTAGCAGAGAGAACAGTCTATGACTAGGGTGGCTGGAGTCTTTGACAATTTTGAGGGCCTTCCTCTGACACTGATATAGAGGTCCTGGATGGCAGGAAGCTTGGTCCCAGTGATGTACTGGGCCGTATGCACTACCCTCTGTAGTGCCTTGCGGTCGGAGGCCGAGCAGTTGCCATATCAGGCGGTGATGCAACCAGTCAGGATGCTCTCGATGGTACAGCTGTAGAACTTTTTGAGGATCTGAGGACCCATGCCAAATCTTTTCAGTCTCCTGAGGGGGAATAGGCTTTGTCGTGCCCTCTTCACGACTGTCTTGGTGTGTTTGGACCATGATAGTTTGTTGGTGATGTGGACACCAAGGAACTTGAAGCTCTCAACCTGTTCCACTACAGCCCCGTCGATGAGAATGGGGGCGTGCTCAGTCCTCTTTTTTTTCCTGTAGTCCACAATCATCTCCTTTGTCTTGATCACGTTGCGGGAGAGGTTGTTATCCTGGCACCACACGGCCAGGTCTCGGACCTCCTCCCTGTAGGCTGTCTCATCGTTGTCGGTGATCAGGCCTACCAATGTTGTGTCATCAGCAAACGTAATGATAGTTTTGGAGTCGTGCCTGGCCATGCAGTCATGGGTGAACAGGGAGTACAGGAGGGGAGTGAGCACGCACCCCTGAGGGGCCCCCGTGTTGAGGGTCAGCGTGGCAGATGTGTTTTACCTACCCTTACCACCTGGGGGCGGCCCGTCAGGAAGTCCAGGTTCCAGTTGCAGAGGGAGGTGTTAAGTCCCAGGATCCTTAGCTTAGTGATGAGCTTTGAGGGCACTATGGTGTTGAACGCTGAGCTGTAGTCAATGAACAGCATTCTCACGTAGGTGTTCCTCTTGTCCAGGTGGGAAAGGGCAGTGTGGAGTGCAATAGAGATTGCAACATCTGTGGATTTGTTGGGGCGGTAAGGCACCTCTGGGGTTTGTGGTATATGACCAATATACCACAGCTAAGGGCTGTATCCAGGCACTCTGCATTGCGTCGTGCTTAAGAACATCCCTTAGCCGTGGTATATTGGCCATATACCACACCCCCTCATTGCTTAATTTCTAGTACAAATAGCCCCCTAGACGACATACGCCTAGTGAGTGGTCGGAGAGTCTAGACGATATACGCCTAGTGAGTGGTAAGGACAAATTACTGGAATGGAACTGTTAAATACTCATGCTGGGCTCTAGTGTGGCAGCCGTCGATATCCAATACATTTACATTTTAGTCATTTAGCAAATGCTCTTATCCAGAGCGACTTACAGTAGTGAGTGAACACATTTTCATACTGGTCCCCCGTGGGAATCGAACCCACAACCCTGCCGTTGCAAGTGCCATGCTCTTCCAATTGAGCTACACGGGAACAATACAATTCCACTAGTAGGCCTAGACCACAAGATATTCAGATCCAAAATGACCATCATGTGAGAACTTACAAGAACATGCTCTGGTATGGAGGCTGAGGTGGCCATGGTGGCGGTGAACACATTGTCCTCGGCTGCTTGGACATCCCCCACAGTGACTGTTGTGACTTCTGTTGTGAGACATCACAGGTTGAAATAGTCAAATGCACTTTAGATACATCACTGGCTTGTCTCTTTTTGTAGTAGGTCTCGCTATGTGAATCACATTAGTTTTTATTTATTTATTTTATTTAACCCGGTAAGTTGACTGAGAACACATTCTCATCTACAGCAACGACATGGGGAATAGTTACGGGGAGACGAATGAGCCAATTGGAAACTGGAGATTATTAGGTGGCCATTATGTATGTATGAGAGCCAGATTGGGAATTTAGCCAGGACACCAGGGTTAACACCCCTACTCTAACGATTAGTGACCACAGAGAGTCAGGCCACCCGTTTAACATCCCATCCAAAAGACTGCACCCTACACAGGGCAATGTCACTGCCCTGCGGCATTGGGATATTTTTTTAGGGACCAGAGAAAAGAGTGCCTCCTACTGGCCCTCCAACACCACTTCCAGCAGTATCTGGTCTCCCATCCAGAGCGACCAGGACCAACCCTGCTTAGCTTCAGAGGTAAACCAGCAGTGGGATGCAGGGTGGTATGCTGATAGTTGATAGACATGGAAACAAAAACAGTGACTGCACCCAAATATTATGTATGAAACTGGCAACATAGACGTCTTGCAATATTACCTGTATTTTACCTAACGTTAAATACAAATATCTCCGGAAAATAACATGTTTGGAGGTACATGTAAGGGGCCATGATGATAATCAAATGTATAAGTTAGCTAGTTCATGCATTTCAAAATGGGTAACGGTAGCTAATGCAGCCGAATCAGGTTAGACTGGTTGATTTGATTTAGCTAGCTAGCTAACCTGTTTGTGTTTGCCTCTGCGTCTAGTATTGAAACTAACAGTACTAGCACAGATGAAAGGAAGTTAGCTAGTTAACATAATATTTGGTACTAGCTAGCTAGCTAACGAGTTAAAACAGGTGTAGTTGGCAGCTAGCTAGCTTGATGAGTAACAATAACGTTAGCTTGCTGCATCCTCAAACTTGCCTGCAAAAGCTGTCTCGGCATCGTCAGAGTTCGGCAAGGACTCGGCTCCAATCTCGATGTTGCCCGGTTCTCCCATTACTGTCATCGTGGTGACTTCGGCCTCCGACTCAGTATCCGAATCCACCCCCTCCTCCACTGGCTCACCGGCAGCGTCTATGGACTCCTCGTCCAACGCAAGTCCCTTCGTTGCCGAGTCCGTCTCGTCCATTTTCCTATGTCTAACGATTTACGCCGAATTTGACCGAGAAATAATCGGAGAATATGGCACCCACCCGATTATATTGTGCTGTGCATAAACCGCTCATGCACTGGAATAAAAACAATGAATTTGTGACGTGGATTTAATTATTTTTAAAACGGTGAGAAATGGCGTCCTACGTTCGTTCTCTACGCTTTTCGATCAAGTCTCACAGGAAGGAGATGCAGCGGAAATTACCGAAAGAAAACGACGTCACACGAATCGACGCTCAAGCTTCGTTTCATTTTTACACCACTAGGTGGCAATATACACATTATTTCATCATTAGACCAACAGTAGATTAAGTCTATGAGCTAGGGCAGGGTTTCCCAAACTCAGTCCTGGGGCCCCCCCTGTGTGCAAGCTTAGGTTATTTGAATCAGCTGTGTAGTGCTAGGGCAAAAAACGATGTCTCATAGGGATTTTTTTCAAGGTCTATGACTTCCTTAGAGTTGGAAAATGTGTGATAGCAGTGCATCAATAGTAGCTTTCTGTGTTATCACTCTTTCATCCCTCCATCCCATTCATTCATATTGAACAAAAATATAAACGCAACATGCAACAATTTCAAAGATTTGACTGAGTTACAGTTTATATAAGGAAATCAGTCAATTGAAATAAATAAATGAGGCCTTAATCTATGGATTTCACATGACTGGGAATACAGATATGCCTCTGTTGGTCACAGAAACCTTTTTTTTTAAAGGTAGGGGCGTGGATCAGAAAACCAGTCAGTATCTGGTGTGACACATCTCCTTCTCATAGAGTTGATCAGGCTGTTGATTGTGGTTTCTGGAATGTTGTCCCACTCCTCTTCAATGTCTGTGCGAAGTTGCTGGATATTGGCGGGAACTGGAACACGCTGTCGTACACGTTGATCCAGAGCATCCCAAACATGCTCAAAGGGTAACATATCTGGTGAGTTTGCAGGCTATGGAAGAACTGGGACATTTTCAGCATCCAGGAATTGTGTACAGATCCTTGTGACATGGGGCTGTGCATTATCATGCCTAAACATGAGGGGATGGCGGCGGATGAATGGCACGACAATGGGCCTCAGGATCTCGTCACGGTATCTCTATGCATTCAAATCGATAAAGTGCAATTGTGTTCGAGTGCCCACATGATGCCATACACGTGGTCTGAGGATGCGAGGCCGTTTGGACGTACTGCCAAACTCTCTAAAACGACTTGGAGGCGGCTTATGGTAGAGAAATTAACATTAAATTCTCTTGCAACAGCTCTGGTGGACAATCCTGCAGTCAACATTCCAATTGCACGCTCCCAATTGCACGCTCCCTCAAAACGTGAGACATCTGTGGCATTGTGTTGTGTGACAAAACTGCACTTTTTAGAGTAGCCTTTTATTGTCCCCAGCACAAGGTGCACCTGTGTAATGATCATGCTGTTTAATCAGCTTCTTGATATGCCGCAACTGTCAGGTGGATTGATTATCTTGGCAAAGGAGAAATGCTCACTAACAGGGATGTAAACAAATTTGTGCACAAACTTTGAGAGAAATAAGCTTTTTGTGCGTATGGAACATTTCTGGGATCTTTTATTTCAGCTCATGAAAAATGGGACCAACACTTTACATGTTGTGTTTATATTTTTGTTCAGTGTACACATCATATTGGAAAGCTTAGATTCACAGCTATCCATTTGACACATTTTCTAATTTTTCTGATCAGCAGTACCTCTGTTACATATCAGAATTACCTGTAGGCCTATAAATGGCTTTAAAAAGGAAACCATGCCACATTTGAAACTTTGTTGGACAAGTCGTTCTGAAAGGCAATGAAATTACCTTTCAAATCGTTTGAAAGTCGCCCATATGTGCCATTGAATGTTGGAAGCTTAGCCATAGATTTCCATGTAATGGGACAGCTATGTTTTGAGATTCTAACTTCAATAAGAGGCAACAAATTGCACACACACAGCTAGGCCTAGGTATTAAAAAGAGTTGCAGAACAGGGCCATCAGAGAGTTCCCGCATTAACCCCACAGAAGGCTTTTCCCAATATTACTGCCAAACAACTCAATGAGGTCTTATTGGACAATTTCGCATGGGCTTACCTGTGTAAAATAGAATTGTAGTATGCCCGAAAATATCTTTAAAATGTTCATAGTGATGTAGAATATACAACCACATGAGCCAGGAGTGCCACATTATTTATTTTTTTATAAACTGATTTGTTCGAGCCCTGAATGCTGATTGGCTGACAGCCATGGTATATCAAACATATACCACGGGTATGACATAACATTTATTTTTCTGTTCTAATCCCGTTTGTAACCAGTTTATAATAGAATAAGGCACCTCAGGGGGTTGTGGTATATGGCCAATATACCATGGCTAAGGGCTGTATCCAGGCACTCCACGTTGCGTCATGCTTAAGAACCTATGAACAGCCCTTAGCCATGGTATATATTTGCCATATACCACACCCCCTCGTTACTTATTGCTTAAATATATATTATGTCAAATTATTCATAGAAATGTGGTAAGAATGTTCCCAAAAAGCTGTCTGAATCGCTGATTTTTTAAGATGTTATGATCAATAATTGCAATATTTAATATTCAACCATGTTACATGGATATGTACAGTACATGTGAATAGTCATGGATGTGAGCTGATTAAAATGATATACGTTATCCTAGTAGCTGTTTTCATGATGAGTACTTTAGGCTACAGCTGCACCGTACATTCCATTACAGTGGCTAGGTTTCCATCCAATTTGCAACAGATTTTCATGCGAATATTCAAAAATCAGCATAAAACAATACGCGCATTTTCCCACCAGAGATATTTCCATCAAACTTACTTTTTGCGGATAAAAGGTGCACATAAAAATAAATGTTACCATTAAATTCCCCTGTACCGAATGAAAAATAAAAGTTAAATGGGGTTCCATCTCATTTTCAACTCTACTGATGGTTTTGTCACAAAAACTGTTGCATTATATAGCAAATGTGCCCACTCTGGTCTTGGCACATGCGCTCTAGCCAACAGCTCCCAGATAGAGTATGAGTAAGCTACCTACATTATGAGGCTATTATGGATAAGACTGATATTATTTGTATTTGTCAAACGGCAGCCAAGCATCAATCGTCATGTCACCAGAATAAGTCCCTCGATATTTATTGGAAAGGAGCATCAAGCTCATCACCTTGCACAACATTCATCACCCTGTGACGTTCGTCGTTACTTAATCTGTAGCCTTATAAACTGCATGCTTTCCCTAGTCGGTAGTGGGAGGAACACGCAACATATTATCATGTGACTCCAAGTTTACTTCGATATCATGGTTATATCAATATTTGCGCAAGAAGGCGTTTCCACCGCCATTTTTCGCATAATTCATTTCACCGAGAGAAAAAGATCCCACCAACAAATTGTCTGTCGGCATTTATAAAACTGTACCGGCTTTTCATGTTTCCATCAGCATGGTAGTGACTTTTTTCATGCGTCAGGTAATTTATCAGCATGAAATGGTTGAATGGAAACGTGGTTAGCAGTGGCGATTTTAGCATGTCAATCTTGGCGGGGCAAAATAAAATAAAATAAAATTAGATGCATGCCAGCAAAGCCACTACACAACACTAATCAATACATTAATTGCACTATAACGGTGACAAACGGTGCCCAAAAACTGTTAGGGCCTACATAAAGCTGTCCCAACAGCAGAGCTTTCATTTCAGCACCATGGAGTGAATCCTTACCACCGCTACACCTGGCTATCAGCGGAGCCTTGTCTGGCAGCGAAACAGCTCATTCAGCCTCCTTTACCGCCTTTTTTAAAAACATAGCTGATATGGCTGACTTGCTTAAACAAATGTGGTTTCTACTGACAATTGAGATGTGCATAATGGAATGATGAGTGGATAAGAGGCAATCTGATTGGGACATTAATGAGCGAGCTAGGACGGAAGTAGTCAATATAACTATTTGTACAGCACCTTTGAAATGTACAGCGACAGAATTCAGAACATGGGCCATTCTTACAGTATTCACCTGTACACCAAGTCAGAACCGTAGGATAAATAAAGGGGGCATAAAAGCAGACAATGAAAGCTCTTACAATATTCACTGATTACATTGCTCTAAAACAGGCTATAGGATACATCAAGTCAGAACAGTAGGATAAGTTATGAGGGAGGAAAGGGACCAAATTATTAAGGTGAGGCACATGGGCTACTAACAGCTTACTACACAACATACACTTAGTATTACTTTTTTGGCTACAGTATACATATCTCCCTGGCATATTACATAATTTATGCAGCAGCATACAAGACATTTCTGGACTCATCTTGTTGTGCTGTGCTCACTTGAACAGGAAAGAGGCCCGAAATCCCAACTTGCAATTCCTAGTTGGATGACCGTTCAAAATTATTTTCCATATTTTCCCAGTTGGAGCTGGTTTTATCTGAGTTCCCAGTTGTCTTGACCTCACTGAAGTCTGAGATTTCCCAGTTCTGAGTTTCCAGTTGTTTTGAACACGGCAGAAGTCATGCTGGATTGACAGCATGGCCAATGTATTTAAACTTTTCTGGCTCATGGCGTTACCCCCTTTTTCGTGATATCCAATTGGTAGTTACGATCTTGTCTCATCGTTGCAACTCCCCTACGGACTCGCCGAAAGTTGAGAGCCACACCATTGTGTCGGAGGAAACACTGTCGAACTGACGACCGAAGTCAGCTTGCAGGCACCCGGCCAGCCACAAGGAGTAGCTAGAGCACGATGAGACAAGGACATGCTGGCCAAATCCTCCCCTAACCCGGATGGCGCTGATTGGCCATTGGCACTCATTGTTGAAGTGATTTCCAACTTGTTGTGTAATGTTTATGTCCAATGGCCGATGAGCATTTTATCAATAATTTATCTTCATATGACAAGGATTGAAAAGGATTTGCCAGTAGATTGCCGACTTGATGCATGATGATAACTGCTTGTCTAGCTTGCTAGCAAATATTTTGAAAGTATGATGTTGACATGATCAGTCCAATGAAAGCTACGGTAGATATAACGTGATTTGACGTAATTTTATCTGTGGTCAATGAACTTGAGCCTTCTTGGATGGGCACTGCTAATGTAAATCTATGGCAGCACCCAAGGGGCTTGAATTTTTTTGCTCTACCCATCGATTTTGTGGTGACTAGTGTCCCCATGAGTGACAGAACACTGAGCCAATCACGGCGCAACTAGAGAACATTACCAACCCCTACGCTCCATATTTTCCGCTGGCTGCCCCACCACCACAGAAAGCACTGAGCTAGGCTAAAACACCTGCATTTTGGAGCTGCCTGACTCAAGAAAGCAAAAAAGAGACCATGTTTGTATGCGGCTTTATTAACTCAATGATTTTTTTTAATTATTACATTGTTTGCAAACTGATATGTGACACGTATTAATGCCAAAATAACATGCAAAACAGGCCAAATATATATATATATATATATATATTATGAATGACGCGTCGCCACTGGTGGTTAGTGTAGTAAAATCCAATGTTGGGCCTGATCAGGCCAATTACATTAACTTCTGTATTCTAATAACAGACCAATATACTATGGCCCCATAGTAAGAATGCATCTTCATTTAGATTAACTACGTGTAATGATTTTTTGCTCTCACCATCAGGTGGAAACGTATGGGCAAGTGTCTAGTCCTCTGCTTTATGAAAACAGGCAGTTAAAAGGATAACAATGTATACTACCAGTCAAAAGTTTGGACACACCTACTCATTCAAGGGTTTTTCTTAATTTTTACTATTTTCTACATTGTAGAATAATAGTGAAGACATCAAAACTATGAAATAACACATATGGAATCATGTAGTAAATTCCACAAATTAACTTTTAACAAGGCACTCCTGTTCATTTAAATGCATTCCAGGTGACTACCTCATGAAGCTGGTTGAGAAAATGCCAAGAGTGTGCAACGCTGTCATCAAGGCAAAGGGTGGCTACTTCGAAGAATCTCAAATCTCAAATATATTTTGATTTGTTTAACACTTTTTTGGTTACTACATGATTCCATATGTGTTATTTCATAGTTTTGATGTCTTGACTATTATTCTAGAATGTAGAAAATAGTAAAAATAAAGAAAAACCCTGGAATGAGTAGATGTGTCCAAACTTTTGACTGGTACTGTATATCATTTTAATCAGCTCATATCCATGACTATTCACATGTACATATCCATTTTACATGTTTGAAGATGAAATATTGCAACTAGTGACCATAATATCTTCTGAAATCAGCCATTCAGACAGCCTTTTGGGCACATTTTTAACAATTCTGTGAATAATTTAACATCTTTATATATGGCACACCTGGCTCATGTGGTTGTGTATTCTACATCACTATGAACAGTTTAATATAATATAATCCACCTCTGGCCTGCTAGCTCCCCTACCTCTACGGAAGCACAGTTCCCGCTCAGCCCAGTCAAAGCTATTCGCTGCTCTGGCACCCCAATGGTGGAACAAGCTCCCCCACGACAGCGGAGTCACTGACCACCTTCCGGAGACACTTGAAACCCTACCTCTTTAAGGAATACCTGGAATAGTATAAAGTAATCCTTCTTCCCCCACCCCCCATTAAAAAAATTCTAATAATAAATAAACAATAAAAAATACAAAAATGGTGGTTGTCCCACTGGCTATCATAAGTTGAATGCACCAATTTGTAAGTCGCTCTGGATAAGAGCGTCTGCTAAATGATGTAAATGCAAATGTAATAATTAATATAATTATAATATCATAATATAATTAATTTCTGGGCATACTACAATAATACTGTATTTCAAACAGGTATGGTCCAATAAGACCCCATTGAGTTGTTTGGTGGTCATATTGGAAAAAGGCTTCTGTGGGGTTAATGTGTAAATAATGTGATGGCCCTGTACCTACAAATCTTTTTTAAACTGTGTTCTAGCTGTGTGTGTGCAATTTGGTGCCTATCAAAGTTAGAATCTATAAATATAGCTGCCCTATTACATGGACTTCTATGGCTAAGCTTCAAGCTTTTAACAATAGTTGTAGCTGGTGCTATATAATTTGAAAGGTGATTTTATGACCTTTCAGAACCACTTGTCAAACTAACTTTTTAATGTATCAGTTTCCTTTTTAAAGCCATTAATACAGGTAATTCTGATATGTACCCTAGACTGTCCTGCTCATTTCCTAAAATGTGTCTGATGGATAGTTGTGAATATAAGCTTTCTAATGATTAAAAGCAATAACTTGATGTATATGTAACCGGTGTGAAATGGCTAGCTAGTTAGCGGTGCGTGCTAGTAGCGTTTCAATCGGTAACGTTACTCGCTCTGAGACCATGAAGTAGTTGTTTCCCTTCCCTCCTGCGCCTGACTCCTTCCACACCACCTCATCACATCGAGGGTGACTTGTCGATGTGTGCAGAGGGTCCCTGGTTCAAGGCGAGGAGAGGGATGGAAGCAAAACTCTTACATATACTGACATTGTTTTTCAGTGGGTAAAATCCCTATGGGAAAAATGAATGTGATGGAGGGATGAATAAAAGAGTGATAACAAATAGAAAGCCACCATTGCTGCACTGCTATCACACATTTCCCAACTCCACGGACATGGACCTTTAAAAAATATATATCACTATAAGACATCGACGGCCCAAATTTGGTAGTCTGGCTCATGGACTAATTGGATCACTCAGATCTGGATAGTGGTTGATTGTAAGAAATACATTTGCTCAACAGATTTCTTCAAAATCTCATTTAATATCCTTAAACTAAATTAAAATGTCCTGCCATCTCTGTAAAGTCAACCATCTACCATCTGTAAACTAGTCGACTCCTGATAAGTGAAATGGTTTAATTGGTTCAGGACTGCATTAACTACATGAGAGCTTTCAGATATCCACAGCATGAAAAGTTAAGTATTTGAATTGGAACCTGTGGAGTTCTCACTTATCCGGAGTCGACTGTAGTGTCACAATGCTTATTACACATACATTACAAGGATTAATACAACTGACAGGTAAAAAATAATCATGTTGTTAAGTAGTTGTTTTGGAAAAGCAAGAAAGGTTAATTACATGCCAGCTGCTGAAAATGTATATTATTACTCACACTTATAGACATATTAGTCCAATGCTAAAGCACTGTAAATCTGAAAACCAAAACAGTTACTTGGTTTGTAAATTAGATTTAAGTTTGTTCTTGTTTTTCTGAAACATAATTGAAAGTCATCGGGTATTGAAAACTTAAAATCACAGAATAAGATTCAAGTATGCTAAAGTTGGTCATTGTCTTAGAGATTCTACGGTACTTTTGTATACTTTCTAGCCAGTAGTTCTGAAAGTAGCGCAAACGAGCCAAAAGTGGTCCCGGAAAATTGCGCACTACGTCACAGTTTCCAGAAAAAAGTTGCTTTCAAACTCGGGATTTCATGGCTAATTGAGGTAAGACAGTAATTCTGCATGTATGAACTACACATTGACACATCCAGCCCAAAGCGGGAGGTTAAAAAAATACTTACTAGTCGCCAAAGTACCGGAGCATGTCTTTAAACTACTATTACAAAACACATAAATAAGCCAAAACCGAGGACAATCTCTTATTGTACCTATGGTCAGTACTGCCCGTCTTGGATCAGTAATGTGAAAAGGGCACTGGTGCATTCTTTGACATACTGCCAATACTCTTTAGGGCTATTTATCAATGTAAATAAAGGTGTATCCTGCATTCAACTGCATCCTGGTAAGAATGAGTCATTTTTGGGGTAGAGCAATGTTCAGCGTTTACATGACTGGTTTCTTAAATAATGTATGTACAATGACAGTTCTCATATAACTGAGACATAAATTATATACACAAATCTGCACATACTGTATTTCTTATTTCGAGCAGAAGACATTATTATATAGAGAATTGGAGGGGGAGATGATTTCCTATCCAAAATCTTCACAATAAAAGTTTATATTTTGTCTTTCTTGGTATAACAGAGGAAAGTAGCCAGCCACACCTGAAGCCACAAATAAAGTTCCATTCTTGTTAAATCTCTTCAGTTCTGGACCCTGTAGATTAGATAGTAGAGCAGGAAGAAGATGAAGACCAGTCCTACTGAGACATAGCAGAGGATTTTGCGATTGTCTCTTCCAGATCGCACCATGCCAGAGAACCTCTTCACACTGCCAGTCAACAGTCCTGTAGCACTCAGAAAATTGGAATCCTACAAACAGAAAAGGAAGAGTGGATTGATGAACTTACTACTACATACATCAGGAAACTCGTTAGATGCAGAACTATACCGCCCAGCCCCAGACAGCCACCTGCTACATTCAGACAGTGGCGGCTCCTGAAAAAATTCTCAGGGGGGGCAATTTTTCTGATGATTTAGGTGACCTACACACATTTTAAAAAAGATATGTCCAGCAACAACATGAAGACAGGGGCAGCATATAAGTCAATACCAGAAGCATTTATTGACTGATCTCAAAAGTGTTGGCTTACCAGGGTTGGTGGAGCCCTCAGTTTCATCTTTGCCTCGCAAAGCTAACTCAAACACTCCGCAAAACTTCACACACTGGATAGCCGGCTGAGGATGTGGCGGTTCTTGCTAACCTCATCGTTGTGGCGGCGGACAGCTAGCCTGTATCCCTCATCCAGTTGAGTGGCAATGTTCACTCTCCCCAAAGCAGACAATCTCAAACAGCTATCCATGTGGGTCTTTGACAGCTCATGTTTCTTAATCTTTCCTGAAAGATGGTGCATGTCCGTTACACACCAGTCGCTGTCCAAGCGGTGCTGTCTGCCGTGCCGCCTTCAGGGTGAAAGAGTAAGCAGGGGGTAGCAGAAGACTGCATTAGCTACATCGCAGCCTGCTAGCCAGGTTTTTCGTTCGTACCAATTTTTGGAAAATCCTCGGGTGTAGGACTTTCCCCCTTTAGTAGAAACCTGTTGAATTATTAAATTTGGTCTGGGAGGTCCTAATTGTTTCGTTGCCAATTTATCTTGATTTGTTCGCCGACAAAAAGTAACTTATTTCAAAGAGACAATCGAGTTGCACTGAACGCTATAGCCATCTTGACAGTAGTACGTGAATTGATTGACGCTGCTACCCGCTCTTTTCTTAGTTACGTTCATGGTTATGTTACGTATGACGAAAGCGCGTAAGTGCAAGCCCTCAGAAACCCATAGAGATTGTATTGAAAGCTCTGATATTTGAAAAAAATAGATTTTACATGGGAGTCTATGAGAGACTTCTGGGGCGATTTTCAACCTGACTGAAATCGCCCCAAAAGGGGGGGGGGGGCATTTGAAGCACGACTTTAGCCTGATTGGACATTTAGTGGCAGATCAGACGTCTAGATTAGAACACTGATAACTACTGTTGCCGTGATATAATTTATTAGAAAAAAAATCCCTTCCTTTTCCCGTTTGGCAGTGCGTCGCCCATATCGCCCTAATGAACACACCGCCCCTGCATTCAGATTACCCTGGCCTTGCTCAATACTTACCATGCCATCCAAATATGAATTCTGGTCTTCAGCTTCTTTGTCAATGTCGTAGGCAAGCTTTAAGGTGACACAGAATTACACAGAATTAGGATGAAAAGTCAGCAGCTAAAGTTAATACAAGTTTTTTTTCAAAAAGTTACAAAATTATAATAAAAACAAAGTAAATCAAATAAGTTAAAATTAGCAGCTAACTTTTACAATAATACTAGCTATGCCTGCTACTTTATTTGCAAGTTGTTGGTAGCATACTGGTAGATGTAACTGGTCGGTAGATGTAACTGGTCAGTGGTCACACATACCGATTTCAATCTGGAAACTTTGGAGGCCAAATTGTCAGCCAGAAGCTTGTTTTCCACGTCCAACATATCGTCAACAGCACCTTGTCCTATTATGACAAGCATAGGGAGTGAATAATAGGACAGATATGTACATACGAGCAAGATAGATCACGTAAAAAAAACTAACGTTATGCTAACTAGCTAACACATTTACTAGATAACTACGACCAGAGAGACAGCTAGCTCGACAATCTGTACTTTGACAATCTACAATTCACACTGGGTTAGACACATAAAAAGCAATCTACATACAATTCTTCCAAAACGATTAGTCCGTAAAAATGTTCGTTTAAGAATATGGGTCAATGTTTATAATGAAGACGTGTCACATAGCAAATTACCTCGATTCCAGTCCGCCATCTTGATTGTTGACGTTTCAGCAAATTTACGGAAGCCCGTTGAGACCACTGAGCTATGGTAGGTTGCAATGACTGTAGGGGAAAGATTATGTATATACTGACAAGATACACGTCTCACCGCCCTAACAATGGGAGTCGTTGTCCACAAAGTAGCCCAGCGGGCTTTCTAGCTCCCGCCTTTCTTTGGATTGGTGGAGACATATCATTATTGTAATCTATTTTTGAATATTCGATTAGGGTTGTTGTGACGTCACCGCATGTATTCAATGGAGAGCAATGCTATGCTATTAGCCTCATGACATAAATATACATAGCCATCTCGAGACAACTCCAATATAAAGTATTTTTTCTCAAAGTTGCCGGGATGTCACGTGTCCTACTTATATCAGTAAACTCGTAACAACTTAAGCATTACGAAACTTATATTTGATCAAATAAACCTCATATAGCAAATAAGCCATTCATTGCTTTGTTGACCAAATTTGACAATGTCATTGACCTCCATACAAAAACTCCTTGCTTGAGGGAGACACATTTTTCGCCGAGTTGAGACTCTTTTCCTCTTCCTCTCTGCTGTAGGTTGGTTGAGACTAGGGGTGTATTCATTACGGAAACCATTTACCGTTTAAGAACCAAACGGAAGTAAACAGAGAACACTGAACAAAACAGGGAGGGCCCTACCTGAATTTGTCCAATAGAAACTCTCGTTTGCGTTTTCCGCTTGGAGTAAACTGTTTCTGTTGCAAAAATTGCAACAGAGGAAACGTTTTGCAAATGAATCAGCGTAACGAATAGCTACACCCCAGAAATAAAAAGCATTTATTTGGTTCGCGTCGTATAAAGACAGAACGTGATCTCGATACTTGAACGAGGCTATCTAACCCCGATCCTAATCTTTAAAAAAATGTCAATTTTGACAAAAGCTGTATCTTGTCTAGACAAAACCACTGAACGTAATACACATCCGGGAATGTAAACGCGATTTATATCACATCATGTGTGACCTGGTGGATTTGTTGTGACTCTTTCTCTTGTCGGTAAGTGATGTTTTACGGAATGACTGTAGTCGCAGGTGTTAGTACTTCTTCAGCATGGATTATATGATGGTGTTGTAGGCCTATAATTAGGCCACTTTCGTGATTATATTGATCGCTGACGTTGCCATTTCTTACAGAGATAAATTGATGCGCCCAGGTAGGCGGCCTAGTAGTAGTAGGCCTACATTTACAGCAGCACCTAGGATTAGGCAAAGTTAAAATAATAAGCAGTGTTGCAGCTTTGTCTTATTTAGTGTGAGTAGAATGGACATTGATGAATATTGATGCTCTTGGGGACTTTTATAATAGATACATTCTAAATAAACCTATGGCATAAAAAAGCGTTGCAGAAGTATCTAGTTACAAAGCCCAATGTTTTTTGTCATTTGATTTATCAATATTTGTATTATGTGTTTTGTGAAATATTTAACAGTAGTATTTTTTTAATGTTTCCAGTTTACTCACATGTTTGTCTCTCTACATTTCAGTTTACCTGTCAGTTTCTAATGCAGAATAAAGTTGATGAAGCAAAGATCTGATGCAGTCTACACACCATAAGGGATGAAGTAACCGGCAAAACAATGTTGATCTGAATTCAAATACATTAGTTAAGGATATCATATCATCAGAAAGGGATGTCAGAGATGGACAGGGAAGCTCATGCAGAAGATGAGCCCAGAGGAGGGACTGGGTTAGTGGATGCCTTTAAGATCCTCTCTAAGGTCCCATATGAGAGACAGCTAAGCCTGACTTTCAAGTTGGGTGGCAGCCTGGCTGAGGAGCTGGTACATGCCATGTCTCTCATCAGCCTCGGGAAGCGGTCAGAGGCACTGGACAAGCTCCAGGCTTTGGGAGACAACAACATCATTGCTAACCATCTGGTTGAAAAGGTGAGAATGTGTGGAGTCAAGTTGGAGGACTTAACAGTGAGCATTGTTCCTTTCCAAGAGTCTACCGTGGGCACCTTAGCAGACCTAGCGAGGATTTTCAAGGTGTTGGCTGAGGAGAGGTTGTGTGACTCATCTCTGAGGGATTTGGCTTACCAGACAGCTCTAGCCACATGCAAGCACAATAACAGTGGTGAAGAGAGTTCTGAATCAGAATACATACAGATGCAGCTGAGAGAGGAAGCCAAACGGGTCTGCGGGCCTCAGATTGAGGACACAGTTAGGGGGATGTGTTTCCCTAAGGACTCCTCATCAGGACTTTGCTCCATCCCCCCACTGGACCAAGGGAGCACAGCTTTACAAAAATCAGGCTTTCCCAATCAGACAGGAAGTGGTCACAGTCCGCCGTCCTCCCTACGGGACGACACCTCCATATGTTCCTACCCTACTCACTTGGAGATCAGTGTATCCGAAACGGTTGGCTTTAAAACAAGCAACATCCCTTCCCAGCCTCCTCCTCCAATGAATTTGGAGCCTGTGCAATCACCTGTTCCAAATTGTGGTACAAATACAGGAGACGAAGGTGCATTTAAATACTTTTCCAGGGTTACTTCTCGGGATACACCACCCACACAAAATGTGCCTGAGCCTGTTAAAGGAGAAATGGACAGAGTTACAAGTGTTGCAGTGTCTCGCGAACACAGAACAGGGTCAGAGGAGGTGAGAGTTTCACCCCTTTCTCCTTTCTCTTTTACTCCAGCTCACACTAAGTTTGATAACCCTGAGAGTCCAAACGCACATTCCGAACCATGTCCAAAAAATAACCCTGTGCCTACCTCAAACACCTATAGGCCAACTTCTCATCCGACTACCACTGAATCAGTGTCAGCAAGTGTTCCATTGAAAACATCAAATCAGAAGATGGAGGAGGAGGAGGAGGAAGTGTTTTTCTCCTTTGTCATCTTGCATGCAGCAGAGGACAAGGATATGGCTGAGACGTTTAAAGAGAAACTAGAGGCTATAGTTGTAGGTGAAGGAGCAACCTTCTCTCAGGAATTTGCCGTCCCAGGCAGGAACACCCTCATGTGTGTGGAGGATGCCATCAACAATTCAGCCTTCACTATCCTGATGCTTACTCGCAACTTCAACACCCGTCTGCTGGAGGTAGAAACCAGTTCTGTGCTCATGAATGCCATTGAGAACCGGCACAAGTACAACACTGTCATCCCTTTTCTGCCACAGGAGAACCGTATGCCCCGAGAGAACATGCCCAAAGTTCTGAGGATCTTTATTCCGTTAGAGGAAGGTAATGCCTTTGAGAAAAAGGCAAAAAGGGCCATGGCTTCAGCAAGGATTGCTCAACAGAGGACGGTGTGGTTGAGCGAGCAGGCAGTGAAGGCGCAGGTTAGGAGACAGGAGAGACTACGACTAGAGGAAAAGCTTCAAATGGATTTCATTCGTGAATGTCAGGAGACGAAAAGGCTAGAGAATGAAAGAATGCAGAGATATTTGTTGCAACAACAACTTGCCAATCAACCCTCGACTCCCGCAATGCCTCACTTTACTGCTCCATTTTTAGGAAGTATGCCTGTAAATGTGTCCAATATGTCAGTGACACCACAGCAAGATGGGTGGAGTCACCCATCAGGAAACATCCACATTCAGAATGCTCGCTATATCATGTTTGGGAATGACTCTAAAATGACTGTCAGACAAGGTGGGGACAGCAGTGGGGATGAAGATGACAGGTTCTAAATGGGATATGATGTAATAAAGGAGAGGAGGGTTAAATGTGATCTTGTGAAAGCTAGTTATTCTGGAGTAATCATTTAGGGGTATATTCCACTTTTGGAATAGAAATCCTGTTTATTTTCTTATTGAAGACCATTTTGTGTATTGATGGTGTTTTTACATTGAATATGATCATAGTTCAATGTTACATTAGTTGATTGCTTAAACATTGTATTTCCGATGCCCTGTACCATTTAAGAGAATGTTCTCATTTTGAATCAACTGTCATCGCTTGCAAAAGCTGTAATTAAAAACATCTGGAGACAATGGTGCAGTCTCAGTCTCAGGTGCACAGAGAATGAGAGGATTGGTGCAAACTGGTGAATAGGTAATCAGATTAGATGAAAAATGAGAAGTTTGTTTGGATTTCATTGGTGTAATATAATTGTTTCCCTTTTAAAATTCTATCAGTGTTTTTTTTGTTCATTGTGTTCAATTACTTCCGATATGCATTAAATACGTAAGGCTCTTTTTACTTGAACCTATTTGTTGATACTGTGTTTAACTTAACAAGGCCTACTACATATGGTTCAACAATAGAGCAGCATAAAGGAATTCAAGCTTGATTACATTTTATTCAATCAATAGTCTAGAGGTACATAACATTTTATATAAAATAATATGTGCAAAAAATACAAACAACAAAGATGTAGATACATTTAGATTTTGTAGAAATATCAGTGAATGTGCATGGGTAAAACATGTGCCTATTTAAAAACATTTAGTATATGGGATAGCAAAATAAACAATGAGAAGATCAATGTAGTCAGTCATGTATCAGTATTTCCCCCCAGATCTGGTTTTCTGATTGTAATATCCTTTAAAACAGGTCGGTAAAATACATTTATTTTTAACTGGCTAAGGGAATATAATGTCCTTGAAGACTGGGGACCTCCACTGGCAGCCCGGCAGGGAGTAGAGGGGGTGCGGTTTCACTAACATACTGTTACATGACTCCTTTACCCGGGTCATGCACACCTGATTTGGGCCATGTATGTCCCAGCTATGCAGTCTCCTTGTGGGTTTCATGGGCCGATCATAGCACCATCTCGCCGGTCCCACAGGTCTGTCATAAGAGTCCAGGAACCTCTCGATTGAGTAATAAGGTCCCAGAGATCCCACTCCACCTCCATGGAGCCTCTGTGAGTGATAGAAAGGCGAAGTCCAGTCCACAGACCCAGTAGAGTCATAATAACCTCTTGGTTCCTGTGGAGGGTACTGTAACTTCATCCAGCCCAAGGATCCATGCAGCCCACTTCTACTCCCACAGTGCCTCTCCCAATGGCTGCAGCCTAGCTCTGTCCAGCACCAGCCCAGAGAGCCAGCCATACTGTACCCGGCCTCCAGCGCCCTCTGGTGCCTGCTCCTCCTGGCCTTCCTGTGCTGCCTGAAGTCCCCCAGCAGGAAGTTTCCCAGGTGGGCTGGGTGGATGCCCCAATGGTGGCCCTTCCCGTCCTCGCAGCGGCCCACCTTGATTTATAGTTTGATTGAATTTTTTTGACTGTAATTTAAAAAAATACATAGGCTATACAGCCAATACCTACTTTTTAAAAAAAACTATCAAGGACAACACAATTACTTATTTCCATTGTGGTCCTTTTATACTGAACACAAATACAAACGCAACATGTAAAGTGTTGGTCCCATGTTTCATGAGCTGAAATAAAAGATCCCAGAAATGTTCCATATGCACAAAAAGCTTATTTATGTCAAATTTTGTGCAGAAATTTGTTTACATCCCTGTTAGTGAGCATTTCTTCTTTGCCAAAATAATCCATCCACCTGACAGGTTTGGCATATCAAGAAGCTGATTAAACAGCATGATCATTACACAGGTGCATCTTGTGCTGGTAACAATAAAAGGCCACTCTAAAATGTGCAGTTTTGTCACACAACACAATGCCACAGATGTCTCAAGTTTTGAGGGAACATCCACCAGAGCTGTTGCCAGAGAATTGAATGTTAATTTCTCTACCATAAGCTGCCTCCAACATAATTTTAGAGAATTTGGCAGTATGTCCAACCGACCTCACAACCACAGACCACGTGTAACCAGGCCAGCCCAGGATCTCGACATCCGGCTTCTTCACCTGCGGGATCGTCTGAGACCAGCCACCCAGACAGCTGATGAAACTGAGGAGTATTTCTGTCTGTAATAATGCCCTTTTGTGGGGAAAAACTCATTCTGATTGGCTGAGCCTGGCTCCCAGTGGGTGGGCCTAGCACCCAAGTGGGTTGGCCTATACCCTCCTAGGCCCACCCATTGCTGCGCCCCTGCCCAGTCATGAAATCCATAGATTAAGGCCTAATGAATTTATTTCAATTGACGCATTTCCTTATATGAACTGAAATTGTTGCATGTTGCGTTTATATTTTTGTTCAGTATACTTTACCTTCACAAAGCACTCGTTCAAGGACAGGTTGTGCCTCACGCTGTTCCTCCAGCCCTGGCCCTGACCTCCCGACCCCCGGGCCCTGAAGTAGGGGAACCACTCCTCCATGGCCCTGTAGATAGAGGCTAGGTTGAGCTTCAAAGAGGAGGAGGAGAGGATGACTTTGGCGATCAGGGCGACGTAGGAGAGCGAGGGCTTTGTAGAGGGATCCGGATCTCTGTGTATTGTGTCCTCTCCCTCACAAGTTTTGTTGCTGTCTGAGGGCTTGGACTGAATATCACCCGGCAGACTGGATGTTTCTGTGGGGATGTCCTCGCAAACAGTGCTGAGGTCTGTCTTGAGGACCTCACTCTTTACTGGAAGAGTTTCTCCATCTCTGCCTGACCCTGACCCCAGCTCTTCCATCTCTGTCTCCTTGGAAATGACTCCACCTGCCTTTACCTCTCTGAACATCCCTTCTACTGGCTGTACTTCTAACTTCTCTTTCTCTGTGTTCATATCTCTCTGTCTGTCGTGAATTTCAGTTGTCAGCTTTGCAGCACAAATGCTGAGTGTCTTTAGAGAGCATTCCTACATGCTGTCTGGTATTAGTAGAATGGCATTTCTGCTGTAGGCTACTTGTCTTTCTTGTGATGGTTTGACCGGTTTGACTCTTTTATAGCTCCTTTCTTCTTAACCACATTCAGTCCCTGCATGATTTGGGTTGGGCATGCCACATTCTCACAGATAAAAGTACACTCTGATGAAACATTCATCATCAAATAGGAAACTGTACATAGTGAATTCTGATAAGATTTTATGTGGTCATTGTTTGCCATTTTGAGTTGAACAATGGGGTTAACCCTTAAAGAATGTTATTTCTTATAAAGCAAAGTATGTAATGTTCTGCAGAGTGCCGAGTTTTGGACATTATGAGAGAAAAAAAAGGCTTTTAATATTTGAAACATTTTGGGGCTTGTTGGCAGTTAACCTGAAGTGTCTATACAAGGAGTATCATCTTCAAAACAAACATGTTTTATCCAGTATTTATTACATGATTAACCCTTCAACCCTTATTAGGAGAAGTTGAATAACATTACTTTCCACATAGGAGACAACAAACTATCATAGAAAACATTGTTTTGGTTCGAATATAGTCTTTTGTGACAGCACACACGTGAGATCTGGTTCTGGATGCCGAGATTACGGTAGTTGGAATCAAATAGTTCGAATCAAATATCCCAATGTATTGCTATGTATATCATTGTTGCGAAGTAGTGTCTCAAAGAAGAGGCATTGAGATGATATGTTCTCAGTATTCTCCTGAGCCCACACTGCATAGTTGAAGTCCCTTCTGACCTATTTATAGTGCTGGCCCTTGCTACAATGTCATCTGTAACTCGAATCCATATGTTTATTCACAGCATGTTGAATGTCAGTTGCCAGAGAAAAGCAGAGAACTCGGCTCTGCGATTCCCCTTCACTCTGTCACTAGACAGCCCAATGGAGCCTGCTGCGGTCGAACCAAGACCCACTGGGGTCAGCAGCCTCCTGGGTGTCCCAGGGCTCATCACCTGGGATGGGGACGAGGCGAACGACGCAGAGGTGATCGGTGGCATCAGGACCAAGTCCTCTCCTCTCCCACGGAGAAGGAGCGCCAATGACTTAAAGGACTGTGTGCTCGAGCTGACCCCGTCCAACTCCCGGAGGGTGTCCTTTGCGGACGCCCTCGGCCTAAACCTGGTGAAAGTGAAAGAGTTTGACTCGTGGGACATAACAATCCCGTTGAACTTCAATGCCCTGGAGGGAGAGAAAGAGGTAAAGGAATACTACTTGTCCTCGTTATACACTCCTCCACCATCCCAAGACGCCATGGTCCTGAGAGTTCAGGAGCAGAAGCTAGAGCTGGAAAGTATTGACTTACTCCACCAGACTACAATACTGAGGGGGGTGGTCCGCGTTTTCAATGTCTCCTTTGATAAGATGGTGTACATCCGCACCTCTCTGGACGCCTGGGCCACGCACTTTGACCTGCTGGCAGAGTACATACCGGGGTCCAGCGATGGAGACACTGACTGCTTCTCATTCAAGCTCACCCTGGTGCCTCCCTTTGGGGAAAAGGGGGCCAGAGTGGACTTCTGTCTCCGGTATGAGACCCCTGTTGGGACTTTCTGGGCCAACAATAGTGACCAGAACTATGTGATGTTTTGTCACCAGAAAATCAAAGAGCCGAAAGAAAAACCACAAAAAGACAAAAGTGGGCGCAGGAAAAGCATCCTGAAAGACATCAGGTGAGGATAGTCAGATCAATCGAAACAGGTTTGTTTTGAGTGTCGATTGATGGAATGATTGAATGCTAGTACTTTTTATCAAATTAATAGAGGGGTTATTTGTGTTATGTGTGGTCCAGTCTAGTGGTCCAGTCATGTGACAGCTATGATGCTTTCATATTGATAATGCCTCACCTCAAAATACACCCTTTTACCAAATTTGTTTTACTTCCTAAAGATAAACCAACTGACAGTTTATTGCAAAATGATGATATTACAGTAAATGTTGGACAATTGTTGTTGGGGTCTTTTTGCCCGAGCTTTCATTTAATTTATTTACAGTCATGAGTTTCCCTGTGACGAAAACTGGTCGTCAACCAATGCTGAATCTTCAGGTAATCATTAATTGTACTAAATCATTAAAAAGTCAAATGACTCAGACATACAGCGGATAAAATCAATTAGATAAAGTCATTAACTAAAACCAATTAGAATAAATCATTAGCTAATGTCAATTATGATTTTTCCTCTAGATGTACACAACCGTGGAGGAAAGATGGCTAGTGTGAACACTTCTGAGTCTCAGTCAGGAGCACTCCAAGATGATCGTCAGAAATTACTGGTGAGTAACACCTGTGGCATTTGGATTTCGGAACATCTACAGATGTGTCATTTATCCAGTGTTTATTTACAACATAAGCCTTTGTGATACATAGATTTACATAACTTTTACGTAACTTTTTCAAATGGGCCTTTGCAGGGCTTGAAAAGGAGACCGGGGTCTCGATGTGACTCCTTATTAAAATAAAGGTCAGATAAAAAAATTAAATAAAGAATAATAGTGATTTTCTTGTTATTGTGGCCTTCAATGGGGTTTTCATTTAGTGGAATTAAAGGTTTGAACAGGGTTTAATTTAGTTACTTTTTAAATATACAGTAAATATCATGGTAAAATGGTTAGGCTTAAACAGTTTGGGGTGACCTCAGAAACAAGAGACTGTGAACCCTGTTGCTCTTTCTCAATATGTCATGTGATTGCTGCTGTCTGAGCCCTGAGGGTCATTACTTTAACATTCTGTACTAGTTGCATCTTTATGACACTTGAGGACATACAGTTTGTGTCCTCCTGAAGGAGTTAAATGCTAAGTATTTATACATGTTGCATTACAGGAGCTAAGAGAGGTCTTACATGGTCACATGAGTGACTGAGCTATACATTGCATTGGTAACACGCTCTCTTTAAATGTATATTAGTCTCTCATGAGTCGTGACAAACAAACACATTATAATGTTACTGGCCAGAGGCCAGCGCTCATGTGAGATTTGGTTCGGGGTGCCAAGATTAAATGTACACTACCAGTCAAAGGTTTGGACATATCTACTCATTCAAGGGTTTTTCTTTATTTTTACTATTTTTTACATTGTAGAATATTAGTGAAGACATCAAAACTATGAAATAACACATATGGAATCATGTAGTAACCAAAAAAGTGTTGAACAAATCAAAATATATTTTACATTTGAGATTCTTCAAATAGCCACCCTTTGCCTTGATGACAGCTTTGCACACTCTTGGCATTTTCTCAACCAGCTTCATGAGGTAGTCACGTGGAATGCATTTCAATTAACAGATGTGCCTTGTTGAAAGTTAATTTGTGGAATTTCTTTCCTTCTTAATGCGGTTGCCAATCAGTTGTGTCGTGACAAGGTAGGGGTGGTATACAGAAGATAGCCCTATTTGGTAAAAGACCAAGTCCATATTATGGCAAGAACAGCTCAAATATGCAAAGAGAAATGACAGTCCATCATTACTTCATTAGACATGAAGGTCAGACAATACTGAAAATCTCAAGAACTTTGAAAGTTTTTTCAAGTGCAGTCGCAAAAACCATTAAGTGCTATAATGAAACTGGCTCTCATGAGGACCACCACAGGAATGGAAGACCCAGAGTTACCTCTGCTGCAGAGGATAAGTTCATTAGAGTTACCAGCCTCGGTAATTGCAGCCCAAATAAATGCTTCACAGAGTTCAAGTAACAGTTACATCAACGGATGATCTCTGCATGTGTAGTTCCCACCGTAAAGCATGGAGAAGGAGGTGTTATGGTGTGGGGGTGCTTTGCTGGTGACACTGTCTGTGATTTCTTTAGAATTCAAGGCACACTTAACCAGCATGGCTACCACAGCATTCTGCAGCAATACGCCATCCCATCTGGTTTGCGCTTAGTGGGACTATCATTTGTTTTTCAACAGGACAATGACCCAACACACCTCCAGGCCGTGTAAGGGCTATTTGACCAAGAAGGAGAGTGATGGAGTGCTGCATCAGATGACCTGGCCTTCCCAATCCCCCGACCTCAACCCAATTAAGATGGTTTGGGATGAGTCGGACAGCAGAGTGAAGGAAAAGCAGCCAACAAGTGCTCAGCATATGTGGGAACTCCTTCAAGACTGTTGGAAAAGCATTCCAGGTGAATCTGGTTGAGAGAATGCCAAGAGTGTGCAAAGCTGTCATCAAGTCAAAGGGTGGCTATTTGAAGAATCTCAAATTTAAATTATATTTTGATTTGTTTAACACTTTTTTGGTTACTACATGATTCCATATGGGCTCCCGAGTGGCGCAGCGGTCTAAGGCTGTCACGAATTCAGCCGAGGCTGCCCCTCCTCCTTGCTCGTGCAGTCTTCGGCGTTCGTCGTCACCGGAGTACTAGCTGCCACCGATCTATGTTTCTGTGTTCTACTTGTTTTGTCTTTATTGTACACACCTGGTTCCCATTATGTTCATGATTTTGTTCCCTATTTAATTCTCTGGCTCCCATTGTGTTGTGTGCGTGTTTGTTCTATGTTTGGTGTCATCGACTGGTGAGCGGGATTTGTCCTCCCTGCGTGGAGATTATGTTAATTTATTTTCACAAGTAAAGTACGTTGTCTACTAGCTCTGTGTCCTGCGCCTGACTCCGTCCTACCGCTACACACTGACACCTGACAGAAACACGCACCTAATATGGAGTCAGCAGGTACATTCATTCCTTCAGGATCAGTGGATGAACACGTCCAGCAGCAAGCAACCATGATACAGACTCTCGGCACAGCCATGGATCGCGTGTTGAACACTATGGAGTGATGGGAGAGAGGGGGTTTTCCTACACCTCCTTCAACTACACTGCAACCCACACCGCTGTCCACCCCTTCGTCACCTGGGTCCAGTGGGATTCGGCTCTCGCTCCCGAGGGCATATGATGGTACAGCTGCCGGGTGCCAGGGTTTTCTGCTCCATGTAGAGCTCTACCTGGCGACCATCCACCCGGCTCCCTTGGGATACGAGAGCGTGTTCGCCCTCATCTGCTGTCTGTCGGGGAGAGCGCTCGAGTGGGCCAATGCCGAGTGGGGAGGAATAGACGCGGCGTCTGTGCGCTATGAAGATTTCACCCGCCGCTTCCGGGCGGTATTTGATCATCCACCGGAGGGGAGAGCGGCGGGGGAACGTCTGTTCCACCTCAGACAGGGGAAGAGGAGCGCTCAGGACTTCGCACTGGACTTCAGGACCCTGGCAGCCAGCGCGGGATGGAATGAGAGGGCCCTGATTGACCACTACCGATGCAGCCTACGGGAGGACGTTCGTCGGGAGCTGGCCTGCAGGGACACCACCCTTAACCTGGACCAGCTGGTGGATGTGTCGATAAGGCTGGATAACCTGTTGGCCACCCGCGGACGTCCGGATCGGGGTCCGTCCATTCCATCCCCCAGCACCTTCGACCCTACACCGATGGAGCTCGGAGGTGCTGCTCTCAGGGAGACCGGAAGGGGGGCCGTTTCCTGCACCAACTGTGGCCGCAGAGGACACACTGCTGGTCGGTGCTGGGGAGGGTCCTCAGGGAGTCGAGGCAGCAGGCAGAGCACTGGTGGACCTTCCCAGGTGAGTAGGCACCCGACTCACCCAGAGCTCCCTGTTGCGCACATGTGTATTGACATAGAGTTTTCCCCGCATTCCCAGCATAAGGCTCTCGTAGATTCAGGCGCAGCTGGGAACTTTATTGATCGTATATTTGCCCATATATTAGGGATTCCTATTGTTCCTGTTGATGTGCCCTTCCCTGTACATGCCTTAGATAGTCGCCCTTTAGGGTCAGGCCTGATTAGGGAGGTCACAGCTCCACTCTGGATGAAAACGCAGGAGGGTCATGAGGAGAGAATTAGTCTCTTTCTGATCGATTCTCCTGCGTTTCCAGTGGTGTTGGGGCTTCCCTGGTTAACCTCTCATGACCTCACTATTTCATGGCAACAGAGAGCTCTCAAGGGATGGTCACGTCAGTGCTCGGGGAGGTGTGTAGGTGTTTCCATAGGTGCAACTACGGTGGAAAGTCCAAACCAGGTCTCCACTATGCACATTCCCCCCGAATATGCCGATTTGGCTCTCGCCTTTGGCTCTCCAGGTTTGGCTCTCCAGGTAGGCGCTGTACTTCCCCGGAGTCACGTCTATCCTCTGTCACAGGAGGAGACGGCTGCTATGGAAACATATGTCTCCAAATCTCTGGGACAGGGATACATTCCGCCTTCCACTTCACCTGCCTCCTCAAGTTTCTTTTTTGTGAAGAAGAAGGATGGAGGTTTACGCCAGTGCATTGACTACCGCGGTCTCAATCAGATCACTGATAAGGACAGTTATCATTGCTAGTGTGACAGAGTCATTGTACGGGGCGTGCTTCTTCACCAAATTGGATCTCAGGAGCGTGTACAACCTGGTGCGTATCCGGGAGGGGGATGAGTGGAAGACGGCATTTAGTACCACATCTGGGCACTATGAGTACCTCGTCATGCCGTATGGGTTGATGAATGCTCCATCAGTCTTCCAATCCTTTGTCGATGAGATTTTCAGGGACCTGCACGGACAGGGTGTAGTGGTGTATATAGATTACATTCTCATATACTCCGCTACACGAGCCGAGCATGTGTCCCTGGTACGCAAGGTGCTTGGTCGACTGTAGGAACATGACCTCTACGTCAAGGCGGAGAAATGTCTGTTCTTTCAACAGTCCGTCTCCTTCCTAGGGCACAACCTGTCCGCGTCAGGGGTGGAGATGGAGAATGACCGCATTTCGGCTGTGCGTAATTGGCAGACTCCAACCACGGTTAAGGAGGTGCAGCGATTCTTAGGATTTGCCAACTACTACCAGAGGTTTATCCGGGGCTTTGGTCAGGTAGTGGCTCCCATTACCTCCTTGCTGAAGGGGGGACCGGTGCGACTGCAGTGGTCAGCTGAGGCGGACAGGGCTTTTGGTCACCTGAAGGACCTGTTTACCTCGGCTCCTGTGCTGGCTCATCCGGATCCCTCCTTGGTATTCACAGTAGAGGTGGACACGTCCGAGGCTGGGATAGGAGCTGTACTGTCTCAGCGCTCGGGTACGCCACCAAAGCTCCGCCCCTGTGCTTTCTTTTCGAAGAAGCTCAGCCCGGCAGAGCGCAACTATGATGTGGGGGACCGGGAGCTTGTTAGCTGTTGTCAAGTCTCTGAAAGCGTGGAGGCATTGGCTTGAGGGGGCTAAACACCCTTTCCTCATTTTGACTGACCACCGCAATCTGGAGTACATCCGGACGGCGGGGAGACTGAACCCTCGCCAGGGCAAGGTGAGCTATGTTTTTCACCTGTTTTGTGTTCACCCTTTCTTACAGACCAGGTTCCCAGAACGCCAAGGCAGACGCTCTGTCCCGGCTGTATGACACAGAGGAGAGGTCCATGGAGCCCACTCCCATACTTCCGGCTTCTTGTCTGGTGGCACCGGTGGTATGGGAGGTTGACGCGGACATCGAGCGGGTGTTACGTAAGGAGCCCACTCCCCCCCCCCCCCCCCCCCTCCCCCAGTGTCCAGAGGGTCGTATGTACGTTCCGTTAGATGTCCGCGATCGATTGATCTATTGGACTCACACGTCACCCTCCTCTGGTCATCCTGGCATCGGTCGGACAGTGCACTGGGAAGTACTAGTGGCCCACTTTAGCTAAGGACGTGAGGGTTTATGTTTCCTCCTGCTCAGTGTGCGCCCAGTGCAAGGCACCTAGACACCTGCCCAGAGGGAAATTACAACCCCTACCCGTTCCACAATGGCCCTATTTACACACGTCTTCTGGCACTACAGGGTACCTGAGGATATAGTGTCTGATCGGGGTTCCCAGTTCACCTCAAGGGTCTGGAGGGCGTTCATGGAACGTCTGGGGGTCTCGGTCAGCTTGACCTCAGGGTTTCACCCCGAGAGTAATGGGCAGGTGGAGAGAGAAAACCAGGATGTGGGTAGGTTTCTGCAGTCCTATTGCCAGGACCGGCCGGGGGAGTGGTCGGTTTTCATCCCCTGGGAAGAGATGGCCCAAAACTCCCTCTGCCACTCCTCTACTAACCTTTCTCCATTTCAGTGTGTATTAGGTTATCAGCCGGTCCTGGCACCATGGCATCAAAGCCAGATCGAGGCACCTGCGGTGGATGAATGGTTATGGCGCTCGGAGGAGACCTGGAACGCTGCCCATGTACGCATGCAATGGGCTATCAGGCGACAGAAGGCGAGCGCCGACCGCCACCACAGTGAGGCCCCGGTGTATGCACCAGGGGACCGGTTCTGGCTCTCGACCCGAAACCTGTCCCTTCGCCTGCCCTGCCGGAAGCTGGGTCGGCAGTTTGTGGGGCCATTTAAAGTCCTGAGGAGATTGAACGAGGTTTGTTATAGGTTACAGCTTCCTCCTGATTACCGTATTAACCCCTCGTTCCATGTGTCTCTCCTCAGGCCAGTGGTAGCTGGTCCACTCCAGGAGTCTGAGGTATGGGAGGTTCCTCCGCCCCCACTGGACATCGAGGGGGCACCGGCGTACTCGGTCTGTTCCATCCTGGATTCGAGGCATCGGGTGGGGGGCCTACAGTATCTCGTGGAGTGGGAGGGGTACGGTCCGGAGGAACGGTGCTGGGTCCCTAGGAGGGACATCCTCGATCCCTCCATGTTGAGGGATTTCCACCATCGTCATCCGACTCGCCCTGCTCCGCGTCCTCCTGGCCGTCCCCGAGGCCGGTGTCGGCGCACGGCTGGAGACGCGTGTCAAGGGGGGGGTACTGTCACAAATTCAGCCGAGGCTGCCCCTCCTCCTTGCTCGGGCAGGCTTCGGCGTTCGTCGTCACCGGAGTACTAGCTGCCACCGATCTATGTTTCTGTGTTCCACTTGTTTTATTGTACACACCTGGTTCCCATTATGTTCATGGTTTTGTTCCCTATTTAACCCTCTGGCTCCCGTTGTGTGCGTGTTTGTTCTATGTTTGGTGTCATCGACTGGTGAGCGGGATTTGTCCTCCCTGCGTGGAGATTATGTTCATTTATTTTCAGTTTGGATGTCTTCACTATTATTCTACAATGTAAAGAATAGTAAACATAAAGAAAAACCCTTGAATGAGTAGGTGTGTCCAAACTTTTGACTGGTACTGTATATAAATATGTTTTGGCTTGGTCATGAGCAATATTTAATCTGAACGTGCCTCTCTAAATGTCATCCTCCCCAAACTAGCCTAACAATTGAGGAGGCATTGGGTGAGAAAGATTAACTGAATCTATCCTTCTTGTTGTTTGACAGGTTGAGGGCAGCCGGAACTCCAGCAGAAACAAATGACGAAAGGCAGCACGATTGGCAAAGGTGTGGGACTACTTCACCCAGAGAGAGGATGAGACCCAAGAGAAAGAGAAGGGAGCAGTGGAACCATCACCGATCCCACAGGAAAGCACATTCCCACAGGAAAAGCTTTCAAATGGGCATGAGGTACAACCACTGCCAACACAGGGCAGGAAAGAGTTTGGGCTGCAGGCGACAGATTCTCTGTCTACGTGCAAACTGTCTCCTGGTGTCCAGGACAGCACGTCTTGGGAGGAGTCACTGAAACCTGAGAAAATAGACTCAACGTTCCGATCAGCCCCATCAGAGCTGAGAGGGAAACAGGCCTCTCTGATCCCCAGCAGCAAGTCAGATTCAACTGATCAACCCGCTGCTCTGAGCCAAAATGGTGATACGTCTGTTTCTAAAGTGGAGGGAAGTGCTCTGATGCAGATGGAAACGGAGAAGGGTGGATCTGCCATCAGCACAGACATAACATATTCAGATAGCACTGTCAGGTTGGATAACAGCACAGCAGGCCCAGTACCAGGCAGCCAGACCAATAGCTTTACGTTTGGTAATGTTGTGGCCCCACTATACTGTCAGGTATTTGGTAGAGTGGAGAGTAGGAGTCAGAGTTTAACCCATAGAGGGAATCAAACAAGTGGGCGATTGCATGAAGGGGATTGAACAGTCTACACAGCCCAGAGTTACCCATCCACAGAGGAAGCAGAAACTCACTCCTGTGTTTCAACTGATACTCGTGGAACACCTGAAGACAAGCCTGTAGATCAACAGGGGTCTCTTAAATCAAACCCAGAACACTTCAGCTCTGGATTAAGGACAGAAAAAGAGTCTGAACCTAAACTTCTGTCAGAAGAGGCAGGAGGTCTTCTCAGGACTAACACTGCCTTGAACACTGCTGCTGCTCTCAAAACACAAACCCCATTACCAAACACAAAACTTTCACAAACCCCATTACCAAACACAACACTTTCACAAACCCCATTACCAAATACAACACTTTCACAAACCCCATTACCAAACACAACACTTTCACAAACACAAAAATCATTACCATACACAACACTTTCACAATCTCCACTAGAAGCAACACTTTCACAAACTCCACTAGAAGCAACACTTTCACAAACTCCACTAGACACAACACTTTCACAAATACAAACTCCAGTAGACACAGCACTTTCACAAACACAAGGCAGTCTCCTACAGTCACAAACTGAAATGGGGTCAAAGCATGTCTCTGCTGAGATGACTCTGCAGGGGGCCAGTTGTGGATATGAGAGACCTGATGAGTCAGATGAAATGGAGAACCCTCTCTCAGCCAACACAGATGAATGGTCAACTGGCACATTCACAGAAATAGCAGACACACCTATAGCCATGCTAGAGCCTGTGGATGCTGACCTAAAGGTTTTCACTTCAACAACAGAGACAGAGGAAAAGCTCACCACTGAGCACCGAAACTTTGCTGTCCCCTGTACGGACACACTGGAGGAAGAAACCAGTGGGACAGCGTTGAAAGATGATTACATTGTCATTAAGGAATGGACATCATTGGAGAAATTGATGAGAAAACAAACAGATCAAGTGAAGAATGAACTATCATTTGAAGTGTCAAACACCTTATGCAATGAAGAAAACCGGCATTCTATTGACAATTAGTATTATAGTGATGGAGATGGAGAAATGTCAAACTATGTGAGGTATGATTATGATAAAGACACTGACAAGGTCTCAAAGTTCAAAGAAGAAGATATAAATAAGGAAGATGAACCGGTAATGATGAACAAGAAGACGTTTTTAGTTCCTACAGAGAAGGAGATAGACGCAAGTGATGGACAACCATTGCTAAAGACAAATCGAATAGAAAAAGACTGGGAGGGGACTGTGGAAGAGGAAGAGGAGGACATGATGGGGGAATATGTGGAGGAGGGCGAATGGGAAATAGAAGAAGAGGAAGTAGTTGTGGAAGAGGAGATGGTGGTTGGGACAAAGGAGTTGGAGGCGGTAGGGGAGGTGGAGGAAACAGAGGAGGAAGTTGGGAAGGAGGTGACCAAGGAGGAGTTGGTAGAAGAGGTGGAGAAGGAGAAAGAAGCAATTATGATACAGGAAAAGATAGAAGGAATGGTGGAGGAAGAGGAGGAGGTGGTGAAGGGAGAGGGGGAAATGGAGAAAGAAATGGAGGAGGTGGTAGTTGAAGAAGAGATGGAGGATTTAGAGGAGGAGGATGTTAAGTGAATAGAGTGGGAGGAGGACGAGATTGTAGAGGAAGAGGAGGAGGAGGAGGAGGAGGAGATTGTAGAGGAAGAGGAGGAGGAGGAGGAGGAGATTGTAGAGGAAGAGGAGGAGGAGGAGGAGGAGGAGGAGGAGATTGTAGAGGAAGAGAAGGAGGAGGAGGAGGAGATTGTAGAGGAAGAGGAGGAGGAGGAGGAGGAGGAGGAGGAGGAGGAGGAGATTGTAGAGGAAGAGAAGGAGGAGGAGGAGGAGATTGTAGAGGAAGAGAAGGAGGAGGAGGAGGAGGAGGAGGAGATTGTAGAGGAAGAGAAGGAGGAGATTGTAGAGAAACTGCAGATGTAGAAGTAGTGGGAATTGTAGTAGATTATCAAAATGAGTTGGTAGATGAGTTTAACATGAACATGGACGATATGAATGAGGGTGAGGGTGGTAAGAGCACAAATGTAAAGATCACAGAAAAATCAAACCCAGAAGATAATACATTAATGACAAATGAAGTGTCAAATCCTTGCCACAATGAAGCTATCAATGACGTAAGGCCGGACACCAAGCATCCTGGAGGAAGCTACGAAACAAGGACTTAGCCTTGAGTCTTGGAAAACGGCCCTCGATAAGCAGAAGAGGCAGCAGACCGTCCATGCCGTCCATCAGTGAGTCTGTGGATGAGGAGCACCTGAGCAACCAGGAAGATCAGCCAGACACAGAGAGAGGAGCATCAGCCTACAAGTACACTGCCCCTAGTGGAGGGAGGACAGGATAGCACCAGGAGCAATGTAATGTGTTGGAGAGAAACATTTTCTTGGCATAATCCCTCAAAAACACTGTTATACACCATCCTGTTTGTGGTGTTCTTTTTTGCTGCATACCATTATGACTTTCTGGTCTGTTTTGGTCCGGCTGGTTTGTCAGGGGGAGAAACAGCTGATGAAAATAAATAATAGAATAGGTTGAGACCTGTGAAAATATATTTCAGTGTCTATAAAGCGCTCAACAATTAAGTTTCAGTATTTGTCATTATGCCTCATCTGAGAGTACATGTAGATGACCAAAATGACAAAAGGTAACCATTTTTTGACAAATTGGTAAAATGATTGATGTGTATCGTACTATAAACTGTATAATATAAATGTTGACACAAAATTAAGACTTTGAATTCAGTATATGCATCGTTCTATCCAGATTTGATATTTAAATGATATAAACAGGTGAGTATGTTATCTAATTAGCAATACTCTTATGAGGGTCAGCTAGTTTAAGGCAGGCCCTTTCAATAGAGCACACAATATACACAATATTATTGATCCAATATAATGTTTTGTGACATTTCTACACATTGGCCATACTACTGACAACATGTACACTGTTTGAACACAAATGAGTTCAAAGCCCTGTGTTCAAATAACTGTTCTTGTCTATTAATGTTCTGTATTATGTCATGTTTCATGTTTTGTGTGGACCCCAGGAAGAGTAGCTGCTGCTTTCGCAACAGCTAATGGGGATCCTAATAAAATACTGAATACCCAGTTACAAGGCTGTGGACCAATGCTTGGTGCGATTACTGTTAACAAGTTTTAATGCATTATTTTATTTGGTGTAAATGAAGCTGATTTTAAACAGTCTAAATGAGATTTATTTTGTACCAATGCCTCCAGATTCATAATAACCATGTACAGTATGTTATTACTCTGATATTTATGAAATAAATATGGTTAACAAAATGTGTCTATGAATCTCTTTTTCTGATAATATACTACAGTCAAACGGTCATTTCCCACAAGCTTTCAACAAATAAAGCAAAAATAAAACCTAACAGACCACCATGCATATGTACAGTACACTTGAGACACATTTAGAAAACATCTGAACATTTCCCACAATTTGATATACTGTATGCAGAACTGTTGTGATGAAGCAGGGGCAGACTGGGACCATAAATCAGCCCAGGTTTTTCTGACACACTGGCCCACCAGGGTCAAATGGGCCGGTCCACTTAACTATTTTAAGCCGGTGCATGTGAAATGGGACAGCAGCCCCTTAGCCAAATAATGATCATTATGTACCACTGGAGGCTGTCAAGGACTACCTACTGGGCACAAACTGGTTGAATCAACGTTGTTTCAACGAGATTTCAATGAAATTACATTGAACCATTGTGGAATAGACTTTGAATTGACATCAGTGCCCCGTGGGTAGTGAGTGGGGTTGTATTTAAGCAGAAGTATAAGATTTTAATATCCCAGTAGTGACTTGCTCTCGTCCAGGCTTTTTAGCGCTTTGTAATGACACATCTCTTTCCTGTACTCTTGTACTTTAATTAAATACTGTATTGGGCCTACTAAAATCTGTTGATCTGCCATTGAGCAAGGCACGCTAACCCTAATTGCTCCAGGGTCGCTGTCAATAATGGCTGATTCCTGGCCGTGGCCCACTCTCCGAGGGTGTCTCCAGGGGAGTGGGATATGCAAAAATCACATTTCCATTTCACACCACACACTTGTACATGTGTGAAAAATGACAAATATAAGCACCCCCTATTTGACCTTTGACCTGTATAGGCCCCCCACTCCCCTGTGTGAGGTTTACTCCTGGTAAATATACAGATTGGTATGTTTAAACATTTGAGAAGTTATGAAAGGGGTGTATACCTAACAGTAAGATTACAATGCTATCATGTGTCAATGTTGATGAATGGTTGATTGGGAAAACAGAAAGTCTTAAAACCATAGTCCACTCCTTACCCCCTATCAGCTTTAGACAGTTTGAATCTCAAGACAATGCTGTGTGTGTTCGTTTTTATGGCTGTCTTGGCTGTGGTCGGATAAGATATAGACTCAGGTGTCTGGTTCTTATTTCTGTTGAAATGTTTGTCCTTCCCTTTAACGATATGAATAGACCACAAAAATGTTCTCATTTCACACTGTTCACCCCTTTGTGGTTTCTGATAGCATTCACATAATCAATATTTTGTCACTGAACTAACAGTAACTTACAATGACTGTACAAAACATGCTTTCCATGACATAGACTGACCAGGTGAATCCAGGTGAAAGCTGTGATCCCTTATTCATTTCACTTGTTAAATCCACTTCAATCAGTATAGATGAAGGCGAAGAGACAGGTTAAATAGGGATTTTTAAGCCTTGAGACATGGATTGTGTATGTGTGCCATTCAGAAGGTGAATGGGCAAGACAAAATATTTAAGTGCCTTTGAACGGGGTATGGTAGTAGGTGCCAGGTATACCGGTTTGAGTGTGTCAAGAACTGCAAGAACAACCCAAAGGACATCCAGCCAACTTGACACAACTGTGGGGGTGTTTTCACATAAAGTCCTCTTTAAAAGAACCGATCTCAGTCCTCTTTAAAGTGAACTCTGGGATAAAACAAAAAGCAAAAGAACTCAGTTCTCTTTTTATTCACATTGCCCTTGCCTTTGAATGAGGACTCTTTGGGTGTATTGTGTGTATTGTTGTGAATTGTTAGATATTACTGCACTGTTGGAGCTAGAAACACAAGCATTTTGCTACACCCGCAATAACATCTGCTAAACATGTGTATGTGACCAATAAAATGTGATTTGATTTTGATTAGATCTGTAAACGTACAAACCCTATGTTACAATAATTAATTATATCAATTCTTACTTTACGTCTCCCTTTACTCGGTTACAGATCTTTTTTTATATGTACAAACTTTGTCAGGAATGTGGCATCTGCAAAGGACATGAACCGAACGTAGCTAGTCGAAGCTAGCTAGTCAATCAAGCAACTCTAGTCCAGACATTAGAGTTGCATTGCAGCTTCCGGTTTCATTTCCAAAATAAAAGTCTAGAGCTTGTTTTAGAACGCCATTCGATAACGATGTTATACCAGTAGATAGCGTAGTATAGGCTTGGGCCTTGTCTAGAAGAGCCTTGTCTAGAATAACCGCCTAAGATGCAAAATAGAAAGTCAATCTGATTTAGGCTAGGCCTATTCCACTATCTAAATATGCCATGCTGTTGTGTGTTATTTAATTGCAAAACAAGCAAGATTTCTGGCTCTCACAGACCTGTAACTTCTTCTTTAAGAGGCTCCTCTGTCCTCCACTCGTTACCTGTATTAATGGCACCTGTTTGAACTTGTTATCAGTATAAAAGACACCTGTCCACAACCTCAAACAGTCACACTCCAAACTCCACTATGGCCAAGACCAAAGAGCTGTCAAAGGACACCAGAAACAAAATTGTAGACCTGCACCAGGCTGGGAAGACTGAATCTGCAATAGGTAAGCAGCTTGGTTTGAAGAAATCAACTGTGGGAGCAATTATTAGGAAATGGAAGACATACAAGACCACTGATAATCTCCCTCGATCTGGGGCTCCACGCAAGATCTAACCCCGTGGGGTCAAAATGATCACAAGAATGGTGAGCAAAAATCCCAGAACCACACATTCTTACATTCTTTACATTCTTTGTCATTTAGCAGACGCTCTTATCCAGAGCGACTTACAGTTAGTGAATACATGTTTTATTTTTATTTTTTTATACTGGCCCCCCCGTGGGAAACGAACCCACAACCCTGACGTTGCAAACGCCATGCTCTATCAACTGAGCTACATCCCTGCCGGCCATTCCCTCCCCTACCCTGGACGACGCTGGGCCAATTGTGCGCCGCCCATGAGTCTCCCGGTCGCGGCCGGCTGCGACAGAGCCTTGATTCGAACCAGGATCTCTAGTGGCACAGCTAGCACTGCGATGCAGTGCCTTAGACCACTGCGCCACTCAGGAGACAGGGGGAACTAGTGAATGACCTGCAGAGAGCTGGTACCAAAGTAACAAAGCCTACCATCAGTAACACACTACGCCGCCAGGGACTCAAATCCTGCAGTGCCAGATGTGTCCCCCTGCTTAAGCCAGTACATGTCGAGGCCCGTCTGAAGTTTGCTAGAGTGCATTTGGATGATCCAGAAGAGGATTGGGAGAATGTCATATGGTCAGATGAAACCAAAAATAGAACTTTTTGGTAAAAACTCAACTCGTCGTGTTTGGAGGACAAAGAATGCTGAGTTGCATCCAAAGATCACCATACCTACTGTGAAGCATGGGGGTGGAAACATCATGCTTTGGGGCTGTTTTTCTGCAAAGGGACCAGGACGACTGATCTGTGTAAAGGAAAGAATGAATGGGGCCATGTATCGTGAGATTTTGAGTGAAAACCTCCTTCCATCAGCAAGGGCATTGAAGATGAAACGTGGCTGGGTCTTTCAGCATGACAATGATCCCAAACACACTGCCCGGGCAACGAAGGAGTGGCTTCGTAAGAAGCATTTCAAGGTCCTGGAGTGGCCTAGCCAGTCCCCAGATCTCAACCCCATAGAAAATCTTTGGAGGGAGTTGAAAGTCAGTGTTGCCCAGCGACAGCCCCAAAACATCACTGCTCTAGAGGAGATCTGCATGGAGGAATGGGCCAAAATACCAGCAACAGTGTGTGAAAACCTTGTGAAGACTTACAGAAAACGTTTGACCTGTGTCATTGCCAACAAAGTATTGAGAAACTTTTGTTATTGACCAAATACTTATTTTCCACCATAATTTGCAAATAAATTCATAAAAAATCCTACAATGTGATTTTCTGGATTTTTTTTCTCATTTTGTCTGTCATAGTTGACGCGTAACAATGATGAAAATTACAGGCCTCTCTCATCTTTTTAAGTGGGAGAACTTGCACAATTGGTGGCTGACTAAATACTTTTTTCCCCC